GAAAAGGAAAGAGTAACAAGGAAAAGGGAAAGGAAAGAAAGAGTGAGGGTAAAGGGAAGTATGAAAAAGAGAAGAAAAGAATATGAGAGGGAAGGGGAATGGGGTGGAAGGGTGAGTGGGAGAGGAGAGGGTGGAGGTTATCGTCCTCTTCAACAATCGCTATGTAGCAAAAGGATCGTGGATTATACCCAGTATAAGAGGGGTGAGGCGCCTAAGGCGGTGAAAGCGTCACGTCCAATGATATTGCGGGGCTGAGATTGGCTCAGTACCCACAATTGGAGATGGACACGATACTCAATTGGAAGCTGTTGTCAATACGACGCACTGTTCCATCTCGCTCCTTTTTACGCTGATTCCCTGGCCAGGCCTGCGCAGCTATCGTGGCCAGCAAAGATCGATTGAGCCGCTCAGATACACCCCTCTGACGCATCGATATCCATATAATCGCTCCTTTCCCTTGATGTGCGAGGCTCCGACCTCACCTCCCCGCCACAATGCAGTCTTCCCCAGGAATGTTGACAAAGGTATGCTGTGCTATTCATGGACTGCCCCGTCCAGCACGTCAATTAACGGCCCTCCCAGTTTGAATCGAAATCATCGAGAGCCAAGGGAATCGCGTTCCACCCGAAAAGGTAGCTGCGCCTGTCGTATCAAGTGGTAGACTTTGAAAGACTGATTTGGTGTATTAGGCCATGGATCCTAGTGGCCCTTCACTCCTCCACAATCCAGCTCTGGGATTATCGGATGGGCACGTTGATAGATCGATTCGAGGAACACGATGGCCCAGTCCGCGGCGTCGACTTTCACAAGACACAGCCACTCTTCGTATCCGGCGGCGATGACTACAAGATTAAAGTCTGGTCGTATCAGACTCGACGATGCCTTTTTACGCTGAATGGCCATCTTGATTACGTTCGAACCGTCTTCTTCCATCATGAGCTGCCTTGGATTCTCTCTGCCTCCGATGATCAAACAATTCGAATCTGGAACTGGCAGAACCGAAGCTTGAGTACGTTTCTTACATTTTCTGTGTGCTAGTCAGCCGCAGCTATGCTAATCGCCCCTTAGTTTGTACTATGACTGGACATAATCACTATGCCATGTGCGCGCAATTCCACCCTAAGGAAGATCTTGTCGTTTCAGCCTCCCTTGACCAGTCAGTTCGAGTTTGGGATATTTCGGGATTGCGAAAGAAGCACTCAGCACCGACTTCGATGAGCTACGAAGATCAAATCGCACGAGCAAACCAAAACCAGACCGACATGTTTGGAAATACAGATGCCGTTGTCAAGTTTGTTTTGGAAGGTCACGATCGTGGTGTCAACTGGGTCGCCTTCCATCCTGCTATGCCTCTGATCGTTTCAGCTGGCGATGATCGCCTGGTGAAGCTCTGGCGCATGAGCGAGACCAAGGCTTGGGAGGTTGACACTTGCCGCGGCCATTTCCAGAATGCCTCAGGCTGTCTTTTCCACCCACACCAGGACCTCATTTTGTCGGCGGGGGAAGACAAGACTATCCGAGTCTGGGATCTCAACAAGAGGACCGCTGTGCAGTCTTTCAAGAGAGAAAACGACCGCTTTTGGGTTATCGCAGCTCATCCTGAAATCAACTTGTTCGCAGCTGGCCATGACAATGGTGTAATGGTTTTCAAGCTGGAACGCGAGCGTCCCGCTTCAGCTGTCCACCAAAACAACCTTTTCTACATCACCAAGGAGAAGCATGTCAAGTCATATGATTTCCAGAAGGATGTGGAAAGCCCAACTCTGCTGTCTCTGAAGAAGCTTGGCAGCCCCTGGGTTTCACCACGCACTCTGTCGTATAACCCTGCTGAGAGGTCTATTCTTGTCACCACTCCTGCCGATGGTGGCTCTTATGAACTTCTTAGCCTGCCTAGAGATGGATCTGGCGTAATCGAACCAACAGAATCTAAGCGGGGATCGGGCAATTCTGCTATTTTTGTTGCCAGAAACCGCTTCGCCGTATTGAACACTGCCAACCAAACAATTGATATCAAGGATCTGTCAAACAATACGGCTCGTTCGTTTAAGCCTCCAGCGGGAACCACAGACATTTACTTTGGAGGCACCGGTAACCTCCTTATCATTACGCCGACGACCGTCTATCTGTACGACATTCAGCAGAAAAAGACTACTGCGGAGCTTGCCATCACTGGCGTTAAATACATTGTCTGGTCAAATGATGGTCTATACGCTGCCCTACTCAGCAAACACAATGTCACCATTGTGACAAAGACGCTGGAGCAAATTAGTACACTGCATGAGACAATTCGCATCAAGAGCGCCACTTGGGATGATGCGGGCATTCTTTTATATTCGACCCTCAATCATGTCAAATATGCCTTGCTCAACGGAGACAATGGAATTGTTCGTACTCTCGATCAAACGGTCTACTTAGTACGCGTTAAGGGGCGGAATGTCTACTGCTTAGATCGATCGGCCAAGCCTCGAATTCTGCGCATTGACCCAACGGAGTATCGTTTCAAAATGGCGCTGGTTAAGCGGAACTATGAAGAAATGCTTCACATCATCCGCACTTCCAGTCTTGTTGGCCAGTCTATCATCTCATACCTGCAGAAGAAGGGCTATCCCGAGATTGCGCTGCAGTTTGTACAGGATCCAACTACTCGATTTGACCTGGCAATTGAATGCGGCAACCTGGATGTTGCTGTGGAAATGGCCAAGGAGTTGGATAAACCAAAGTTTTGGACCCGACTGGGCACTGAAGCACTTGCCCATGGTAACCATCAGATCGTGGAGATGTGCTACCAGAAGTTGAAGCAGTTTGACAAACTGTCATTCCTCTATTTGGCAACCGGTGATCACTCGAAGCTTGCGCGAATGGCCAAAATTGCGGAGCATCGTGGAGATTTCACCTCTCGATTTCAAAACGCCCTGTACCTTGGAGATGTCGAAGACCGCATTCAGATGTTGAAAGAGATTGATCAGTGTAAGCAATATGGTCAACGCTCCCCCCTCTTTTACTCTAGCGCTAACTGTATCATAGATCCTCTTGCGTTTACTACAGCCAAATCCCATGGACTAGAAGAAGAATGCGAGGCTATTCTTGAGGCTTCTGGTCTCACTGAAGATCAGCTAACTTTGCCTACAATGGGCAAACCGCTGGCACCGCCGAAGCCAGTCGTATCCACGTTCAAGAGCAACTGGCCCAACAAGGCTAGCTCCCAGTCCTACTTTGAGAGTGCTCTTCTCGGCCAGGTAGAAGGCTTGTCTCTCGAGGACGAATCAAACACCGCCAATGGAATAGACACTGAGCAAGCTACAAAGGCGGAAGCCGCAGATCAACTCATTGCTACTGCTGGCGAAGACGACGATGACGCGGCAGGTTGGGATATGGGCGACGATGACGTGCCCGAAATTGACAATGACTTTGTGAACGTCGACAGTGTAGAGGCAGGCGGTGCCGGAAGCTGCGAGGCTGATATTTGGGCACGGAATTCACCTCTGGCAGTTGACCATGTTGCTGGAGGCTCATTTGAAACCGCCATGCAGCTTCTGAACCGACAGGTTGGCGCTGTCCAGTTTGCCCCTCTCAAACCTCGATTCCTGGAGGTCTACCAATCTTCCAAGACCTTCCTCCCGGGCTTGGCCAACTTGCCCAGCCTTGTCAATTACGTCCGTCGTACCGTTGATGAAACGGATCTTCGAAAAGTTCTGCCCGTTATCCCTCGCGATCTAGAACATTTGGCCTCTAACGATTTACAAAAGGGCTACGATTCTATGAAAGCTAACAAGCTAGAAGATGGCGCCAGCATCTTCAAGGGAATTCTACACGCTATCCTTGTCAATGCAGTTTCTAGTGAGAGCGAAGTGGCAGAGGCTAAGAAGCTGATTGTTTCCGCCAGGGAGTACAGCATTGCCATGGATATCGAGCTTGCGAGAAGAACCCTTGGCTCGATGGATGAGATTGCCCAAGACCCCGCTAAAGTTAAGAGGAGTCTTGAGTTGTCCGCTTACTTTACTATTCCGAAGATCGAAGTGCCTCACAGACAAATTGCGCTGCTGAGCGCTATCAAGGTGGCGATCAAGAGCAAAAATTACAACTCTGCTTTGGGCTTTGCAAACCGCATCATCGCGAACGGAGGTTCTAGCAAAATTGTCGAAAACGTAAGTTGTCAAATTGTTCCCCTTTACCTTTTCTGATCATATACTTACCCCCATACAGGCCAAGAAGACAAAGGCTCAGTGTGAACGCAATCCAAACGACAGCATTGAAATTGAATTCGACCAGTTTGCAGAATTTGAGATTTGTGCTGCTAGCCACACTCCGATCTATAGCGGAGCTCCGTTTGAAGAATGTGCATTTGATGGATCAAAGTACCACTCTAGTTACAAGGGATCGATCTGTAAGGTGTGCGAAGTTTGCGAAATTGGCAAACACGGTAGCGGTTTGAGGCTGTTTTCATAGATACTTAATTTGGACTTAGAACTCTCCGAGAGGGGGGGGGGGGGGGGGGGTTAAAAGGACGTAGCAATATCCTAGTTCCTAGTCATGGAATTCACTAAAATATTGAATGAATGAGCTGGTTACTAGATCTCATTGATGCTTGAGAGTGATGATATGATTGAACCAAGGCAGAAAACATATTCATGAACCATACAACGCTTACTATTATTAGTGGTTTGGATTCTATGATACCAGGCCTGTCACAGATGCTAATGCACATTGCGAGGCATCCCATGTAATGTAAAATGAACCATGTCTAATTCGATATAATCTTTACACAATAGTTTCTAGCTCGCGAGCATAGCCCAAGGCATTCTCCATGATCATTTGGCTCATGTCTTTGGCACTAGCCCCGTCTTCACCATCAGCGGTAGTACTAGGGAAGTAGATATGGCCCTCCTTGACTATCCATCCACGGTGGTTGGCAAACTGAATAACCTCTCCTTCTGAGTTGAGGAATAACAAGGACTTGGTGGAGCTGATGGGAAGGCTCGGATAGGCTCGCTCGCTGCTGCTAGCGATTTCAGAGCGTATTTGGTTCTTGAGAATCTGTCGAATCCCCCTAGTTAGCAACATGTCGGGAAAGGCAGCACGATACAACACAACCATTCATGCACGTACCTCTGAGAAAACACTGTACTCATCGCATGGCACCTCGCTGCTCTTCATTGCCTTCCATACACGATCATAGCTTCCCTCCATGAGCCACCTCTCTAGACGAACAGGGTATCCCAGGTAACGATCACCTTCGACGTCGGTTCCGCCACCATCTCGATTTGCCAGACTCTCCAGCTCCGAGTGAAACTCGGCATAGCGGCCTTGGGTGAGGAGTAGCAGCAAGCTTAATCCAGTAACCTTGTTGCGTTCGGGGAGGTTCGGAGGCAGGGTCGCCGATGGCAGCTCGTAAAAGGGCTGGAGCTGCTGGACGTAGCGCGTAAAGGCATCGGCATTCTTGGCGCGGATAGAGAACAGGGCGCCTTGCTCGTATGTCTCCCGGGCAAGGGCGAGGAGGTTCGAGGGCGCTGAGGGATTCGGAGTGAGGGCGTTTACGCTGAGGAGGAGAAGCTTGGCCTTGGAGAGGAGGGCGCTGGCCTCGGGGTAGCTCATCTGGGGAGACTGCTTTAGCTGGGCGAGAATCGGGGAGAGGCTCCGTTCAGCCATGGTTGCGGGCGAAGTTGGCGATCTTGAGAGATGAAGTCGGTGTGGCGATTGGAAACGGAAAAGGCAAAAGTATGGTAGAGGAGATGGTGAGTTAGCGATCAAAAGGTCAAGTCAATGGAGCTGTCGGGTGGCTGCAGGACTCGGGCGTTGGTGTGTCAGTTTGTTGGTATAAAGCGTCCCTATTCTAGGCTGAACGATGACGAAGAGGTGTTAGCTGTCTAGGTGATGGTGGGCAGTGCGTGCGAATCCTGACTAAGACAGCTAAGTTACTGCATTCGAGGTGCCAATACGAGTGCCTGCTCTAAGCATCTGGCATGCACATGGATGCTCCTATTTAGAAGTAGAATTATTTCTCAAATCATAGCTTGATATTCGTAGTTATCGTTCTATATATTAGGCGTAAGTTTTACTAGACACCATGAGTTGCTGGATCTAGCTACTGTGCGCAGCAGAAATGATCGGACAGCGTGCTGGACCTTGGGGCATAGGCGCACTTAGAGCTTAAGTGGCTAGCTTAGGTGATATCGGGTGCTCATCTACTAGGCTCCAGGTACATATTTAATAGCTGCCACAGCCCTAGAAACCTGGAGCTGGTTTTCTAACAGTATCGAAAAGTCTCTTGACATAAGTTAAGTCAACAAACTTCACAGATCAATTGCTACCTATTAAACCTAATTTAGTAAAAGTGTTTGGTATCTCGACTCGAAACAACTGCTTACTGGGAGCTAACGAAGGGCGTCGAAATGTTATTGACAAGACAAAAGTACTAGTAATGAACTGCCTCCTAGATTTGGCATTAGGTGCTGTCATAGAGCTATAGTTGTAATTGCAGAGCACAAGTGCACCTATGGCTTGCTCTTTCAGCTCACAAACATTCAATGAAAACGCAGTCCCTCTTGTAATCTCCATTCCTTCGTAGATAGTGCGAGGTAAGAGTGAATGATTAATTCTATGGCATCGCGAAGCTACTGGCGCAGTACCGGGTCCTTCCCGTACGAGTCCTCGCGGTCTAGGGAAAATCGTCTCTATATAGGTATACTACTCGACCAGCATCGGACTCTATTTCTCTTCTCCTTGCCTTCTCCATGTCCGCGGCCCACATAGCTGAGCCTGCTGCCGTGGTCAGCAGAAAGAAGAAAGACAGCACCGGTATTAGCTCAAGGATCATGGCCATTGTTCCAAAGAAGACGCAATCCCACTCGAGTCTCTTGATCTCATCCTTTTGCGCTGCCTTTGTCAAGCCTCGGAGCTGGAACCAGCGATGATGCGATAGCTTACCGAGCCGAGTGCCAGTGATGATAATAAATACAAAAGTTCCAACGTAAGGGATGAGATTGAGAGGAAGAAAGAACACGAGCTCTACAATCTGAATTGTACTCCAAGGATTGAAGCATGCTGGAGTTGTTGGCTTTCCTAGCATTTTGACAGAATTAGGCGCATCTTCAAACAGGATGCGGTGAGGGGCTATTAGGTCCTTCAAAGAGAGGTCGATGAGCGTTGCCTAAGAAAAGTATTAGCCGATGAATGAATAGCTGCATTCTCTCGTCTCTTGGGCTCACGTCGAAAACATCCACCCGGCATTCATCAACAAAGAAACCCTCAAATAGGCCCTGCACTATCACAAGACCTTCGCCCAACACGAGTACAACAGCATTAAACCAGGCGCCCCAGCCATGGAAGATGGCCAGGAAGAAGAATTGCGGAAGAAAGGCAAAGGAAAATAGTACGAAGTATACGAAGAACGATATTAAAGATAGAGGCACTAGCCGTCCAAGAAAGAGAGGCCAAAACTCCTTCCTTCGCGAAAAGTACCAGATACCACGGATAGGATAGCTGAACGCGATGGCTGCGCGCCGAAGGTAGATGAATTGTCGGCTACCAGAGCATCTTGAAAGAACCTGTTCTCTGTGAGGTGGCAGTGTGTTGTTGAGTGGGCCGGGAGCAGACATGATTTAATTTCACCGCATAGTGCAATGAAGGAAATAAGATCGGGTGTCTACGCCGCCCGAATTGATGTTGACGTTGACGTCGTACAAAATCGTAGGCTAAGAGCAGCACCGAATACAGCTGACGCAGCTTTGCAGCATGTGCCCATCCATCAGGTTTCCCACTAACGCCGATCAGTTCCAGACTTTTCCATTTGAGGTGCGACGTGCTAAAATCCCATGTCCGTGAATGTAGACCAATCAAAACTACGCCACAGACAACACGACAACTTCACTCGACTCGATGCTGAACAGTCAAAATCAGGTGTGCATTTCACAGATAGCAAATACACATACAGTTTCGTACGGCATATTGCAGATTGGTGTACAATCTTTACAACATTTCAATCGTGATTAGACTGCAAAAGTTTCTCTACATGAACGTCTCCAACATCTGAGGGAAGGCTTTGCAGCTGTACCTCCTTTGCATCAAACACTTGGGTTAAGTCTAGAGCGAATAGTCTTCTCAGGCCTTCTATGGCAAACCTGCGCTTCGACAATCATCCATCCAGCCAAAGAAATGCGTGCGAGTGCGAATGCGAAGGGAAATGCGAGGGCGGTGACATAGTTGCGGAGACAGTTGGCGAAGTGCCAGTGTTCTTTCTGTAGATGCTTCCCGTCCTCTGACCGTAGATACAACTATTACGTCAAAGTGTCGGTTATTTCGCTGCTCTTACCTTCCTCTGAGGCCCGATAAGAGCTCCGTTGTAGCAGGATCGAGTCCTCAGCGATGCAAATACGTCAATGTGGTGCCATCTTAGCCGAAGAAAGGTCGTGCTTTCCTCATTCACGCTGACAATCTTATCGCCGCCTCAGAGTAGATGTGCGCTCCTTCCATCATGCCCTCGGCAATTCGGCGCCCACCACTTTGCTTCCAGCAGCAGGATATCTTTCTCCCACTCCCTCTCTCTTCTTCTTCTTCTTCTTCTTCTTCTTCTTCTTCTTCTTCCTCTTCTTCCTCTTCTCTCCAACCTCGTTTCTCTCGTTTCAACTTTTGCCTCCCCAGTCATTCATTGTTTCTCACTCATTTGCATCCATCTCTGTTGCATTTGTCTCTCTCACCAGTCCATTCATTGTCCGCATCACGTCAATTCTGCGAATCTTGCCTTCGCCCACAATGCGGGCCTTTGCGTCTTTGGCGGTCTTCATGGCCGGCGCCGTTGTGCAGCGCGCAAATGCTCAAGCTGACTACGGGTATGTGCTGATTCCCACTCCTCTTTGCTCACAGTTCCTGATGTTTCATCTAGAACACACAATGGAAACAACAATGGCGACCCTGATGGTGATTTTGGCGGCAACACAGGCGGTTCTCCCAGCAGTAGTGTTACCGGTGATCCCAACGGCATCTCCTATGGAAATCCAAGTGGACTTCCAAACGGTGCTTCTGCTGGATTGCCTGGAAACTCCCCCGGTTCTGCTTCTGACATGCCCACTTGTGCCCTGCAAGGCGTTACAACAGTTTTTGTCACTGTATACCCTACCAGCCATGTTACTCCCTCCGGTTTTGCCCCCTCTGGTGCTGCTCAGTCCAATGGCTTCGACCCCAATCAGACGATTCAGCAATCTGCTCTCCCTGCTTCAACTGTTTTGATTTCCCCCGTTCAGTCTGCCCAGGCCGCACACACCAGTGTCAAACCTTTTACCACCGTCACAATTGATGTTTGGGGCAGTGATGGCGACCCATCAAATGCATTCACATCCGATAGTTCACCTGCTCCCATCTCTACTGATGGAGCTTCTGACCCTGTTCAGACATCTGCGGGCTCTCCTAACGGATCTTCTGCACTCCCTCAAGACCCTGGCTCATTCAATTCCAATCTTGGAGAACTTTCCACGCCATCAAGCGGTCAAGCTACTGCTGGCAATGGGCCAATTCTGGGATCCCCTCCCACTGCCACTCCTGAGAATGAGGCATACGGTAGTGCGGGTGGTTTCAATAGCATCCCCAATACCTTCAACCAGCAGCCGCCAGAATACTCTTCACCAACTGCTACAGTTGCTGGTCTTGACGGAAGCCAGCCTGCCCAGATAACAGTCGTTGGCCCTGATGGGAAACCGACAATTGTACAATTCCCCGGTACTCAGATTGGTAATGGCAATGGTGCTGACCAGCCTCTTTCTACCGCTGCTTCGTTCCCCAGTTTGACTCCAGGTGCTTCTGCGGCTTCAGATGTCCTCGCGACCGCCAGAGAGACTCTCTGCACAAGCTACACCATTATGGGACCCAACGGAATTCCCACTGTCGTCCACTCTACTTGGATCGACTTGCCCACATCCACAGCATCTCTCCCCTCATCGTTTCCTTCTGGGCCATCGTCCAATCCCAACGCTGTCACTGGCTTTCCAGAAGGGTCTGCCATTCCCACACATACTACGTTCACAATCCTTGGCCCTGATGGACTTCCAACTGTTGTGGAATCATCTTGGTTAATCCCTGCACCAACAAACAAGCTTGCGGGAAACACTGGTCCTGCTTCTTCCAATGGCTTCCCAAACCAAGTCACTGGAACAGCCGCAGGCGTGGGTCAAAGCGGCAGTACGACATGCACAAGCTACACTGTACTTGGATTGGATGGTCTTCCAACTGTCGTTGATACGACTTGGGTCATCCCTAGCCCTACCAACAACGCCATTCCTTCAGCCATCATCACTGGAATTCCAACCCAGGCAGGAGAAGTTTCTGGTAGCACACCTCAAATCACAACAGACCCTGGTGTGAATGTCATTACCACATGCACAAGTTACACAGTCCTTGGTGCTGATGGCGCACCTACCATCGTGGAATCTACATTTGTTATCCCTGCAAGCAATGTTCTTCCTACTGTTGCAAGCGGAATGCCTCTGCCGCCAGCTCAAACCGCAGGTTTCCCTGAAGGCATTTCAAATCTCCCTGATGCAAGTAACTTGGTCACAACTTGCATCACCGTCGGCGTTGTGGGACCAAATGGCTTTACTACACCAGTTGTTCAAACTGTTCTCATCCCTACTGGTGGTTTGAGCAATGCTTTGCCTGCACAAACTACTGTCGGCTTCCCTTCTCTGGTACCGGCTCAAACCGGTCTTCCTCAAGGTGGCCTTTCTATCACTCCTGGCAGTGGCTTGTTCACAACTTGTATCACGGTGACCACAGTTGGACCAGATGGCATGGCTACGCCAGTCGTCCAAACTGTGGTAGGCTTACCGAGCGGCGCAGAGCTTGGGACCGCACTATCACCCCTGTCAACTGGCGTACCATCTTTCCCCAACCCAAATTCCTCGAGCGGTACTCTTCTCGGTCTTCCCACTCTTTCTCAATATGGGACTCTTGGAAGTGGCCTGCCAAGTCTGCTGCCACCATCTGCAGTGGTTTCTGGTATCGTGGAACCAACAGGGACTGTCACTGGAACCCGCACGTCGACTCTTACCGTCACCCACGGTCCCAATGGGCAATTGCCAAGCCTCGTTCCCTACGGTGATCAGTCGGATAACCAAGCGCCAGAATATGGTCTCCCGGGATCATCACGTCTTGCCACTGCTCTCCAAACTAGCACCTGGACCAATGTTATTCCAGAGCAGACCACCACATACACGATCAACTTCCCACTTACTACCATGGCCACTGTCACTCTACCCAATCTACGAGTCTTCCGTCGCCAGCAAGAGTAAGTCAGACATGGTCTTCTTGTATACAGTCTCTAACTTTGTGTAGCTCGGTATCGTCAAGAATTGCCTGGGGTAACAATACACTGAGCGTGAGTCCAACCTCAGTATTGAGCAGCCAGAGTGATTTTTCCTCTGCTCTGCCTTCTGCGACTCCGCTCCCGGTTGATCCTTCTCCTATGTGCCCGACTGGTGGGAAGATCGGTAACCTTACATTAGACGTTCGTGCTCCCCTATTCTTCTCATTGTTCGCTCCTAACTCGTTGTGCAGTTTGATGACGTCAAGGCTGGACCCCTTTTCAATCCCGCTCGTGATATTTGGTTCTCGGAAGGATTCCTCATTGCTCCTCCATCGTCTCAAACATCTCAATCCTACATTCCTTCATCTGGTGGTCAGCTTGTCGAATTCGTTCCACCCTCTTTACCATCCTTGGGCCGTTCTAATGTAGGAGATACTGCGGAGATCGGCGTTGGTCCAAACGCTCCCAATCACTGCTTCAGATTTGACTTCCAAGGTGCGAGCCTTGGCTGCGCGGCAGACGGTGCCGAGAAATGGTGTGAATTTGAGGTATCAGCATATCGATACAACGAACTTTTGGGAAGAGAAGAGTCAATAGCTTGGTCTGAGACAAAGCGTATTCCAGCTTGTCCCGGCTTCCCTAATGGGAACTGTCGACTGACTCCAGTGTCCTTTGACGGCTACACCAATATCACGTCGGTCCTCATCACTCTACGTGTTGGCACTGAGTTGCGAGTCTGGTGGGGAGACGACTTCAAGTTTGGCTGGAATGACAACAGTTGTGAAGCCGCTGCCTGCCGTGCAGGTGCTGCTCCTCAGCCAGTCAAGCGCGAGACTATTGAATCAGTTGCTCGCCGAGGCGTCTGGCACTGGACTGAACGCGGGTTGAGAAGACTGGATGACGAATACACTTGGGAATCGGTATAATAGGCCATCATTTGAAGATTTCGGATGGCAGATAGGTGCGATGAATCGTGGGGAGAAAATATTTTGCAGTTTGTTTGTTTGTTGATGGAGGCAATTTGACCTAGATTTCTTGGCGAGCAGCGTAATGTGGTTGTAGCTGCGGCACTACATGTAATGGTAAATGGCCGTGGAATACAAAATGAGGTCATGCAGTTTATCACACTATTATAATACAATCAAAGGACATTTCCGGTAAACTGCATGCCCTCTAAGAACATCTCCTCTCTATGATAGCTGGTGCTCGGAACGGTATGTCATGTAGGCAGAGAAACGTAAGCCAAGATGTGCGAAAGTAAGACAATCTCAGTGAATCTATCTATAATATACCGAGTGGTGACCTTTTGCGCCAGATGCGCTCCTCTCTACTACTAAACCAAGAGACTGCGGCCTGACTATCGACGTCATCAGTCATAGTGGCATTGTCAAGAGAGCAAGAAGTATCCCAAGGGCCACACTCAATGCTACATGCTGATACATCGAGAGGGATAACGCCGGATTCGAAGTAGTCAGCTACAGCCCTCTTGGTACAGCGGCTGGGGGCAGAGGCGATAGCACAGTGGCCCATGGCCTCTTGGATGATGACGCGGGCGCCGGGATGCTGTGCAGCCATGGCCTGAGCAGCCCTCAGAGGCGTCACAGGATCAAGTCGATTCGAGAGAAAGAGAATGGGCGCTGCTGGATGGCCCGATTTGATGGACGGGTCGGGCTCTGGTGTGGTAAAGGGGCCTTTGAACTGCCACTTGGGACGAAATCGCCAACTGGAGCAAGGCAGGCGGATTGTCGCCCATTCGGCACCAAAGACGCTGGATGTGCTAACCTGACGATTCACGTATTTGCGCCACCAAGGAACGTCCTTGTCAGTAACGTCGTCGCCATCAATGCAAACGACGGCATTCTGCGATTCTATCTTCCCAATGAGCTGGGGTTCGGTGACGTTGGTTATAGGACAAGCGTCTTTCATGGCCGGCATCGCGCCCAAGCCCAAAACCAGGACGGCCATTTTGGTAATGTTGCCGGATATGAAGCTGTCTAACTCCTTGGCGAGTATTTTGAATCCCTTCAGAGGACTGTAAAGCGTTAAGCCAATGAGGGAGCGGACGTCCTCGCCGGTAACAATGACAGCATCGCCGGAGTCTAGCAGCACGGGCTTGGGCCTTTGGTCCAGGTCTAGGAGGAAGCGGTCGAGACGGCAGCGTATATCGGATGCTCCGTGGGTGTCTGATTCGCGGGCCAAAGCACAAACTTCTGGGCCAGCAGCGGCACAACCCTCTATGAAGGTGTCAAAGATCTCATCAGTATCAACGGTGTTTGCGAGCCAGCCCTAACAGAAGTGAAAAGTCGTCAGCGGAGCCTCTCGAGAGCATGGAGATATCATTGCCCTTGTTGGAACGTTTCAAAACCTACCGGACCGGTCGAATAATCCTCGACATCACAAACTCCGTCAAGAATGAGACGACCAACTCGACCGGGAAACATGGAAGCAAAGTAGTTACCCAGAATTGTACCATAGGAAAAACCAATGTACTGGAGGCGCGGAACATCTCCAGGCTCATCATGAAGCTCAACTGGCCTCCTTTTGCGAGCAGATCGCTTCTTAAGCTCATCTCGCTCATCTTCGGAGTCCTGAACTTCAGGGGCTCTCCCCTTTTCATTTTGCTTTCGAGCAGCAGCGTCCCTCTTACGCAGCTCATCAATTTTGTCAACCATCTCAACCATATCGCGAGCAACATTCGGTGTTCCACAAAGGCCATGGCGTCCCCGGCCCGACTGCAGCGCTGCCCAAAAGCGCCCATGATGGCGAGGCTGTAAGCGATGGAGTGGTCGCCATTGGTGAGGGGCCCATTGCCGCGGGACTCCAGAATGAAAGCGTCGCGCGACACGAGACTGCCGTTGAAGCAGTCGGAAGCGGGCAGCGTGTAACCGATGCCACGAGGATCAAAGGAGACGATTTCATAATGGCGACGGCCCGGCTTGTCAACCGTGGTGCGAAGATAGTGGCCCAACGAGAGCATGGCATAGACGCCTGAGCCGCCAGGCCCTCCGGGGTTGAAGAAGATGGAGCCGCCAAAAGTCGGGTCGTCGTCTGGGACAAGAGCGGGCAGCTTGATCATGGCAATCGTGGCTACTCTTGTGTCTGTCTCGTTGAGCCAGTCGAGGGGCACTTGCAAGCGAGCGCATTTGTACTGCTCGTAGCAATCATGATACTCAAGATCGTCACTGGGGGTGATGGTATCCCAGTCAAAAGGGTCGATGCCAGCCGCCAGTGATGAGATGCCAACTCCAGTGAAGGCCAGAGAAGAACAGCATCTTGAAAGCAGGAGCAGGAAGCAGGGCCTCATGGCGGTGATTCGCAGCCCTCGCTCTCTGTCTGTATGGCTATGCTCGCTGTACCTTTATTTCGGTCAGCCTTTGAAAGATATGAGAAGACGGGAGGGGAGAAGAGAAGAATGGAAAAGAGCACAAACCCCGATTAAGAGAGAGGACCGGGCACAGAGTCCCTATTTGTTTGCTATATCCGTGTCCCCGTGGCACCGATGGGCCGGCTTCGAGGAGTTAAAATAGTGTTGGCCATATGATGTTATTTATGCAGTCAATCGTTTCACTAGACGAGACACGTTCAAACGGATTGAGGAGGGGGGAGAACACGTAATCTGCGTTGCCTCGTCCTGACTGCTGCAATCCTTCGGCGCGGGCATATTGAAATAGTGAACTCTTAATGGAATGAGGGGGGTATAAACAGTTCTAGTGCCCGGCGTGTGCATGGCGCGCTTGCAATAGTTCCTCTGGACTTCCGAATAGAGTATCATGCAGGCATGGCTTACAAACTTATGGAATTACATTGGGCATGGATATTTGTGAAAGAATATGGGAAGGCTGTAATAATCATAGGTATGTAGTATGCATAAAGAAACAAAGGCAGTAGTTCGAAAGTGGATTGAGTGTCACCCATTAATCATGTAACGCATTGTCATCATCAGCTTGAGTATGATGATAGAGACAGGATGGTCTACTAAAATGTACCAACGGTGTTGCGTACAGCGGTCTTGGCAGCAAGCATTGGCAGATCTCCAGTGGTTTGCCGTAGTGGCAGCGCCAAGGATCGATGACTACTACCTACTAGTAGTAAGTCTAGGGACTCAATGGTTCAGTGACCAGATCGACCAGAAGAAGTGCATTACCAAGGCAGTGATTTAATCCCCAAGAAAACCAATACAGGAGATATATACAAATCACGTTCAACGGCTCATCACCAAGGAAATAGTAGAAGACAGCCCCAATCGGCTCGTAACATGTACAAAATCACATTCGCATTTTCAATAATAAAACAAACAAGATAGATATCGTATGATTCCAGCGCCGTGATATAAATTTTCTTCAAGTATCATCCAAACAAACCCAGCTTTCCTCCCTCCCACTCTCTCTAATCCCTCGCTGCCCCCCCCCTTGTATCCCTTCACCGTACCCCCGTCTTCGTAGTCTCCAATATCTACACTTCAACTAGCTAAGAAGAGGATCCAAGTCAAGCTCGTAGGCAAATTAAAAAGCAAAATGAAGTAGATGTTACGCTCTGAAATTGATCCTTGCTTGGCGTGTAGCACGTTGTCGTAGTATTTTGTGTTCAAATTCTCTGAAAGTCTTTTGTGTGCGAATTGATCGACTCTCCTTGCTATGATCTTTATATATGCGAGTATATGCTCTACGACATGTAGAAAAGAGCAGTCATTACATGACAACCTAGAGAATCAATGTTAGTCTTTCTCATGCATCCGGACGCTATAAATGTAGAGCTACTCACGCAATCACCATCCTGTTTACCCTGTGGGATGCCCATATCTTCAAACGTTGCGGGACCCTGTTTGCTCGGTGCCTTGCCAGGCTTGCCCGTCGGCGCTGAAGCCGCGCTCGGTACAGGACTCGGGCTATGCACATCAGGACGTGGAGGGCCTTGGCCTTGGCCTGGAGGAGCTGTGCCGGCTCTATGGGGACTCGGCATGCCGGGACTTGGCATGCCAGGACCTGGACGTGGCCCTGGGCCGTTTCCAAAACCTTGGGGACCTGCGGGACCTCCAGTATTGACTCTTCCTGGGTGTCCTCCAGCTGGTGGGGGAAGAGAACCCACTCTGTCTGGGAAGTGGCCTCCGGGACCACCAGGACCACCAGGGCCGCTGTTATGATGATCGGCATATCCATCCGGCCCTGGTCCTGGTCGTGATGATGTCCGAGGCCCGTATTGACCTGGCGGCGGTCCCCCGTGAGGGCCTCCGGGTCCGCCGGGTCCGCCGTATCCCTGAGGCGGCTGGCCTCTTCCGTTTGAGTGAGCGCTTCCGGGCCGGCTGTCTCCTCCGTATGGGCGCCCGGGACCAGGCCCGGGACCAGGACCAGGACCACCTCTGCCACGACCAGCTCCAGGAGGAGGCTGATTGGGGTACAAGTTACCAGCCGACTGGGAGCCTGGCATCGGCCTTGGGCCTGGACCGCCAGGGCCGCCAGGGCCGCCACCTGTCGATGGCCTGATACCAAAGGCACTGCTTGGTCGGTCTGCCGCAGGGCCTTGATTAGGGGGGTAGTTGTTACCGTAACGACCTGGATTTGGTCGGCCATCGTCATCCGGATATGGCGCTCCTCCACCAGGGCGGGCATTTATCGGCTGTGCCCGATCATCCACGGGATAAGGGGCGGCAGACTGAGAGCGTGGAGGGGGGCCGTTGGAATCGACGCGGATATTAAAGGCTGGCTGTCGATCAGTATCAACAAAGGACGCTCTGGATGGCTCAGCAAAATTCATATTTTCCACAATCGTAGGACGCATGCCGGGAGAAGCCACGGGAGAGGCTCGGGAAGAGCCAACTGACGTGACAAGTTTGGGCAGCGGCGGTGGACCACCTTCGCCCTCGTTTAACGTGGGCATCGGGTTGTTTGCCGTCTTGAATCGTTCGGGGCGCTTGCCTCTCATCGAGCCATGCTGTGATTTAATTCGCGTCAATGTTGTTGTTTCGTGATCTGCTTTTGAAAGACTCTTATCCTGGCTCAGGGATTCCAGTCGACCAACGGCATCCTTATTCCCGTGATCGGCCGCGAGTTGATACCATCGCTGGGCTTCGACAACGTCCTTGTTAACGTGGATACCGATTTCGTGGTAGTAGCCCATGGCGAACTCGCCAGTGGGCAGCTTCGCAGACGCCGCCTCATGGGCATATTTGAATGCCAACTCTTCGTTCTTCTTGAAAACACCCTCATAGCCAAAGAGGAACCATCGGCTGACTCCAAGAGCAGCCTCTGGGATTCCCTGCTTGGCGGCCAATCCGTAGTAGTGCAAAGAGTAGGAGGGGTTAAAGTCGCAGCCCAGCTGACACAGCTCAAATGCCTGGCCCATTTTGAGTTGCGCCTTGGCGAAGCCAAGATACGCTGCCTTTTCGACGTACATCTTTGACGTCTCGACGGTATAAGGCAATAGCCCTTCGGGTATGGTAATGTCAGGTAGGTCTCGTCCGATAAGCATGCCGTACACGTATGCTCCCTGGGGTGCATCTTCGTCTGCACAGTCGGCTGCGTTTCGGATGCGCTCCAACCCCCCCTGATAATCCTTTGTCTCGCCATGCTGGCCAAGCAGACTCATCATGCCCATGCGGTAAAGGGCAGCCGAGTCCTTCAAGCTAAGGCCCTTGTAGTAGTACTCCTTTGCTTTGGACATGTCATTGGACTGCTCGAACAGCATGCCCATTCTGTATACTGACCGCGTGTTGCCAAGATCGCTCGCCTTCTTATACCCCGCGTAGGCCTCGCGCTTGTCGACGCGATCTCCAAACTTGCCGAATTCAAGCCATTTGGCACGAATGTAGAGGGCATCCGGGTGCTCCTGCTCGGCCAGGTATCGGATGATGCTGACGGCGTCGTTGCGCAGCTCATGCTCCTTGCGCGGGGTTGGGGGGCGATTGCCGGTCTCAGCTGCCTCCCTGGCGGCGGCGTCCATGGAAATCTCGGCCCAGTTGAGCACATCGCGGGCCCAGGTGATTTGCATGTTGACGTTCTGCGAGTGCAAGACATGGTTTCGGGCCTTCCACAGGATCTTCTCCTTCTCCTCGTCCGCCGGCGGCACGTTGTCGCCAACCACCTTGGGGAAGGGCGAGAACGACGGGGCGTCGTCGTCCATGGTGTCGGGCTGCCGTGACCGACCGCCGCTGTTCTGGCCGTAGGCTCTGCTGTCGTTGCTGGTGAGGGGCTTGCCGGGCTGGTTCTGGGCGGCGTAGGTCGACAGAGAGGGCTCGCGGGCTCTGCTACTGTTGTAGGATGCTGCGTCGTGGCTTCTCGGCTCAATTTCACTGGCTTCGAGCTCCATGCGCTGCAGGTCCTCCTGCATGTTCTGCGGCACCTGAGGGGTCACCCTAATCGAAAGGATCAAGAAGAGAACGTCAGCAGCAGCCCCACCTCGAATGGCTGAAGGGCTCCATTCAGCCTCTGCCAGGGTCCAGCCTCGTCAACCAGGCGAGATGGAAGATAGGAGGACGACAGGACCAAGGAGGCTTGGGGGACAGGGGTCTGTGAAATAAAATTGAAAAGCATACCGCTGAGGGGACGGAGCCACGACCTCTGGCATAAAGTAATCATCATCGCTTCCCGGAACGAAAGTTGCGCCAAATCCAAGTTGGGGGCCCATGGCTGGTAGATGGGATATAGGAGCCTCCCGTTGCAGGCTATCGCTCTCTCTCGTTGTTCGCTTCTTTTGTCTCTACTTGGATGACTGCAGCTGCTCCTCCTCGATGTCAGCGGGCATTCGGTTGCAGCAGCATCGCCGGAGCACAGGCAGGAAACGGCAGGAATCGGGCCACAAACCCTGGTGCGACTTCAACACCACTAGGTAGCACCTAGCAGGATGGATAATGCTAGTTAGTGGTAATAGGAAGTATTGGATGCGAATGTGCCGTAACTCCGTGCTTGTGTTTGTACAAGATCCAGTATGCGCGCGGGAAGCCTGGGGAACAATGTATGGAGCACCCACGTCTTTGGGGCGGTGCACAGGCTAAAAAAGGGCCAAGCGAAGGCGAATTTTTCTTCTTCTTGGTCTTCCTTGTCCAGGAGAAGAGTCGGGAGGAGCTGTCGGCGGATGGCGCACCGCTAGCTGGCGGGAATATTGGATGTATTAATCAAAAGGGACAAAAGAGCTCCCCAACAGGCAGAGGGGCCAGCGACGTTGATATTGAGGCTGAGGGTCAAGTACGGGCTCTTTCTGGAACGTGAGCGGTGCTATAATTAACCCCACGACTAAATACAGTGTGGCGATGCGCGCTCGATGAGTCTGTCTGGCATGTGCAAGATAATCTGTGCAGTAGGCGTTTGCTGACAAGGGCGGGTGTTAATGGCCGTTGCGCCGCCTGACTGACAGGCTTAGACAGTGGCTTGAGTGCGTGTTAGTGGCGGCTGTCGTGCGTGCGCAAGGGGAGAAAGCATGCATCTGGCGGCGGATGCTTCGTGTTTTGAGCGCCAAAGAAAGCCTTTTTGTACTCAAGATCAAATGATATCGCGCAGGTCCCAGCGAGGCCATGCATGATTTAGTGCTTGCATCTCCCTTGCCTTTTTATAGCGTCTGCCTTGGTCCCCTTGGAGCAGATAAACGCCATGCGAGCATGTGGTCTACGACTCTGTTTGTGCGATAAACCGCAGATCCGATTTCCCAGCTCCCCAAAGTAGCAGGGTTCATGTGCTTCCAGCGACTCGTAGCAGGTAGGTATCGACCTAAAAATATCCAGCACCACTGTATTGCCTTCGTACGTGGAGGAAAAGCGCCCGAGAAAGCGCCACAGTCTGAGCCTTTGCTGGGATCTACGACATCGCAGAGATGCTCCATCTATACAACGGTTCCATTATGTGATAAATCCTCCGGGTATGCATGCGAGCTACGCAGACGCGGCATCCGCTAGCAGGAGCTTTTCTATCTATTTGATACCTGTTAATGTTTGTCAGGATGCACTCCGTATCATGGTCTCATGTTTACTTTACCTTCTTTGGAAAGTAATTAAGTGTGCATAACGAAATCGTTGCCTAAAAAGAAACATTGAAACCTCTACCCACAGGCACTTTGAGCCGGTTCTGTTGCTGAGTCGCTACCAAAAAAGTTGTCAACTACATACTATAACACCACAACTGGTGGTCGTGCAACTGCGGCGCTACCAATTAATATGGAGCAATACTCCCACAGGCGCCATTTTAGCCCCAGAGCTGTTCCCCTCCAATCTGGCAGAGACGAGGCACGCTCTTGTGCGCAATCGAAGCTTTGCTTCCTCCACCAAGCCGCTTGAAGCAATATGGCAGCGCTACCAGACTCTCAGGCGACCGAGGAGCCATCCTACATCGATTACGAGACATTCCTCGCTCCCGACTTTGCGCCCACCGCGTTTGCCAATTCTCTCGTCCTCTCCACCAACAATCCGGACGACTCCCCGCTGGATCTGTCAACACCATTGTCGCGAGTCCTCTTTGACGCCCAGGAGATTGACTCTCATATTGATATCCTCACCACCCGCTCCTCTGTTCCTTTGCTGCAATATACCCAATCGCAGACGCAAGCCAGCAAAGCCATTGTCGCACAGCTCGAAGCCCAGATCGCAAGCCTAAATGACAGCTATAAGCAATTGGAGAAGGAGGTCATCGATAAGCATGCCGAAGCTGAGGAGATCCGCCAGGTCGCATTGCGCCTGTGGGAGACACTGAGGCTGGGGAGGTCGATGGGAAGATGCCTGCAGCTTGGAAGACAGCTTGAGGCACAGTTCTCTGAGCTGAGCAATCCCGGTGCCGGAAAAGGCGACTACGGAGCGCTCGTTCGATGCTCCTACACCATCCTCTCGCTGCGCGAAGTACTGGACAGCAAGGCGCCGGGCGAGGAAGGCCATGGCCTCGAGAGGCTCAAAGTGATCAAGAGCCTGCAGGATACCATCATCATACCGATCGAACGACGGATCAATGAGGTATCGGAGCGGCAGATTCGCGAATTTGCTACGCCAAGCAACATAACTTTTGCGCAGAGCGAGGAGGCACGATCACGATTGATATCTGCCATGTATGCACTCTATCTACTCTCGCCGACCAGCGGAACTCAGTTGGAGAAATGGACGCCGAAGCTGCTTGTACAAGCCCTCGATTCCTATGTTCGCTCTGCTCTGCAATCAAGCACCGCAGCTCTCTCACGATCCCTCGGACAGCTTCCCACGCTAGACAAGTGCCTGGTTGAAGTTGTGTCGCACTGCCAGAACATTGCTTCGCTTGAGCTGATTCTCGAGGCTACCGAGGCTCCTACCCACCCCTTGGTCCCAGATTTTGCGAAGAAGAAGCAACAGCAAACCCTCCTTCGATTGCTACTGTCTCGATTTGAAACAAACTCTTTGATTTCCTATTTTTGGCGCAGCATGGCAAGTAACATTTCCGCTCGCGTCCAGGAGATAGCCACCCGAGGAGGCATTGTTGCTCGTACACTACGAACGAATAAGAACGTCGTCGGGGACGCTATTCGACAGGCCGTCATCAGGGGGAGCCAAACGCCGAATGTGTTTTCCAGCGGTAAGAAGAAGCCCGGCGTTGAGGCAAGCTGGGACCGAGAGATTGCCGTTATGACGGGAAGCGTGTTAAACAACATAGGGCGATGATTTTCGGAGCCAAGCCCGCGTGTGTGACTTATTCTTGGCGAGGCCCATTGATTGTTCGTTTAGCGGATATCATGACATATTTTTGGTAGATTAGAATGGATCTTGCCCTCTGAATTTGGACAATGACTATGTACTTGTATAGATGGAGATGAAAAAGGTTTAAAGGCTTAAATGACGGCTGCAGAAGAGGATGAGAAAATAGCACTTTAAATAGACTTATTCTTCTTCATGACTGCACAATCCGGCTCCTTCTTCTCTACCTAAATAGAGATGTCATTTATTATAGCTTGGAAGATATTCATCAAGGTAGCTGTTGTCATTGGCATAACGCATGTGCTATACTTGTGCTCATTACTACTATTGATCAGGAGGCCCAGAGTAACTGCCCTCTGGCACAGGCACCCTGGCCGTTCTTGTGTAAATGTGCCTCGCACCATCAAGGCTCAAGTTTTCCATACAGCCGCCCTTAACAGTCAACGTCTGCGAGGATGATCCGTCTGGCAGCAGGCCCCGATGGATCAAGCGAACCCCACATGTCTTACAGAAATAACACTCCAGCGTGCGCCCTGAATCAGTCTTGCGCGTCCACATCCCGACGTGAGGCTGTAAATCCTCGGCAAAGGGGAGCATGCCCTCGACAGGGAAGACGGCCGAGACGCCAAATGCCGAGGAGGACTGTTTCTTGGCACTCCAGACAGTGGCACACGTCAACTGCGAGAGGCTTGGGGAGCACGGCCCGGAAAGACACGGCGCCGCAGTGGCAGCGGATCATGGGGTTGGCATCCATGCTTGCGGGAAAAGCGGAACCAGTCACGCTATTCTATAATTTATTACTCAGATGGAGGCGATGTGCCCTAATGTACGAGTATGTCGTAGATGAGATCAAGATGTTCAATTAGGAATGTACTTGGAGTCTGCTTTGTCGGCAGAAGGGCAGCCTCCGAATCGTAAAGGCTGGCGGAGACGTGGGCTAAAGACGCGCTATGCTTTTAAACATTTGGCGCTAAAACGCACTCTAAATCGGCCACCCAAAGCGTCTGGAGCGGATGAATCTTGACATCAAATCCAGCGATTCCCGTCAGTGACGTTTTATCCTCCGATGAGCATTTCAGTATTTTGATCCTGAGTGAATTGTTATAGACAGATCGTAGCAATTGTAAGGTATGAACAGCTACAACCAAAAAATCTCGCAAATATCGTTATACCGAAGACCCAAGACTCACTAGCACCGCTCGTCCTTGCTAGAGCCTTGACTTGACGGTGTGCGCGGCACCGCCGGCAGCCATCCATCGGCCCTTGTACCTGTAGCGAAACCCGCCATGCCCCAATTGCTCGTCTCCAATGCGCATCTTGCATTCTCTCCCACGCAAATGCTCTAGCTCTAGCTAAGCTCCCTCCCCTTTCCTTTTTCTTACCCTTTTATGCTTTGTTTTTGAATTCCACTCAGCCAGCAAACGAGGCAATCGCCGACCTAGAGACGATTCTTCGCCACTGATGACGGCATTGAGCAATAGCGGGCCCATCTCCGTAGAGAGCAGAGAGTTCTGAGCGGAAGCAACCTCAACACAATAGTCGGCGGCGCGGGTTGCTGCGATCAGAACGAACGCCATGGTCCGCTACGAAGTCTTCGACGCTCGGGACCTGCTGTCCTTCCCCGACGGCGACAACAGCACGGACACCGTCTTTGGGGGCATCCATTTCAACCTCACGACGCTCAAGCACTGGAACTACACGTACTACAGCAACGGCACCTTGTCCAACAATTCCAAGTGCTATCTGACGTATGCGCCGTACCAGCCCGTTCTGCTTTACACCAATGGAAGCTTCATCAACGCCACCAAATGCTACAGCGCCGTCGACCCAATCGGTGTCCGGGGTTACGTGGGAATTGGCTTTGCGGCCGTGTTTGGCATTGCTCTGATGCTTACGCTCACTACCCTCGCCAAGCATGGCAAGATGTATCTGCCCAAGGAGAAGCGCTTCTATCCCATAGGCCGACGCTGGCAGTGGTACTGGGGATGCTTTGTCTGCGCATGCGCGCTGGTTAGCCTATTCACGAATATCGACGTTGACCGTTACCACGTCCAGGAACTGCCAATCATCGTCACCTCTTTCTTCTGGTTCCTCATTTGTCAAGGAACAGTAGCGCTGGTATGGGAGTCGGTTAGGCATTGGGGGAGCTGGCAAGAGAGGCAATTCATCGACCCCAATCCCTTTGTATATCGAACCGACGACCGGCGATCCAAAGTCGAGTTTTATCTGCCATTATGGGTTTATTTTTGGATATGGATGGTGAGTCCCCATTTTGAAAATGGCGTTCTTGGTTTCAGTGACTTACATCATTCGCTGTAGAACTTTTTTCTTGTTGTGCCTCGCAGCTGGAAGTTTGTGGAAATGCAGCGATCACCGGAACAAACTCTGGCCAAAGCCATTCCCACAGCTACAGGAGCGCGATTCAAAGCTGGCGCATTCTGCCTAGTGATTGCTTCACTTAGCATTGTTTACTCATTGCGCCACTCCATCTATCACTATAAGCCTCGGAACCGCGGAATATTCAACCGGACGTGGGGCTTCATCAAGGCAATTCCGATGCGTTTTATCCTCACCATTCCTCTTTGCTTCGCCCTCGTTGCCTACCAGATACTTATTTCGTTTGATTGGACCTTTTCGGTTATGCGCTACGGCGGAATTGTACCTGTCATATTCGCCTGGGGCTATGGTCCCTCTCTACTCATCCTCTTTGTGCAAATTATATATGGGTTCGCGAGCCCCAACGAAGATAAAGCTCTCATTTCGCAGAGGCGACAGCGAGGTGAGGTCATCGACCAGGAGCTTGGCATCGTCAAGAAGCCAGCATGGTGGAGGCGTGTTCGAGGTGAACATCTCTACACCTTGCGAGACAAGATTACGCAAAATGTCAATGAAGTTGGAGGCAAGCGTGGGCTCAAAGCCCGGTTTGAAGACGAGGAGAGAGAGCCACCTCTGGGAGGTGATTTGGTCACCCACTCTAATAACAACACCATCGAGATGAACAATCTCTCCCACAATCCCCGAGTTGATAGGGCAGGCGTTGGAAATTTGTCATCCATTGGCGAGTCGCGTCGCTATGTGGGAAAGTCTGATCGCCGCCACAACGAGCGGATCGTTGAAGACGCTTCCGGCGTGATCTTCCCCAACAATGCGGAAGCCGAGAGACAGGCTCAGAGAGAACGGTGGATTCACGAGATATCGCAAGACGGACCTCCATCCTATAGCGATACAGATCGGGGGCGCCCTACCCGGCATGACGGGTTAAATAATGCGCAAAGAACCGACAGTACAAGCACTACCAACTCCACTGCCGCTCCGCCACAGCAAGTTAGAAGCATGCTGGATGTTTAATGACCACGTATGGACGACCAACATTGCACAATGAACCCTATTTACGAGTATTTTTGGTTATTGTTGAAAGACGACCAGAGTGATGTATGACGACAGACGAACGTCTAACGCTACGAATACGATAGATCCAAAACCGAATTATTGGGCGGGGGCTATGCGTTATTCGAACTTGGGAATGGACCCCTGAAAGATTATGTCTGTATGAAAGCCGTAGATTAGATCTCACGGAATGAAACCTTGAATCAATCACTATTGCGAGTGCTTGAACAGGGGTATGGGAGTTTACAAGACCCATATCCACGTCTACAACAGTACAGTCGAAACAAGAGCACCTATACTACAATGCGCTATCCACGCGAATGAAGCAAGGAGGCTCCACGTTCATTCAGGTTGGCAGAGATCTATACAGACCCATGTGAAAATGCGTCTAATAGGCGGCACCTGAACTCGGCAGACTCCGAGCAAATCGAGCTTTTACTGAGCAAACTAAGACAGGCTACTACCTACTACTCCATCCACACTCTGCGCCATCTGGAAACAAAGGTGTCTGTCTAATCTAGCTTTGAGCTGCTGCTATACTACTAGACATGCATGGGGCGGGATGTACCACTAGTATTACCCGCCCAAGAGTCCCCATACCATATCGGCTACGGGACCGATGGAGCTGGCATCATTTCCTCACTAAGTTGACCAGCAATGCATGTGACCCGGCAGGTGTGGTGGTATGTAAGTTTATGTAGGTAACAGGAGTAATAGATCCGGCCCAAAAGATAAGGGGCCGGTCAAGCTGTTGAAGATGAGGAGCATGCTGCCAAGGATATGGCCGGCCGATTGTCCTCGGGCATTCTCTGTACGAAGGGGGTACCTTGTGTATACTACTTGTATGTGACGGCACTTATATCAGGGTACGATCTGCCTTTCCAAGCCGCTGACGCTCCCGTTATTTCAGTATGATACTGCCTTGGGCATTTCTACTTTGAATCATTGCCCTTTTCCAGGCACTCATCGGTCTGGCGTGCGACGGTAAGCGGGCACTGCTTATGGCACAACTGCTGGAAGGAGGCGGAATTAGAGTGATGGGTGCCACAAGTGAGCTTCGTCTATCTCGGTACTCTGTGAATACTGCAGTTACATGGTACCTCGAGCTTCGTTGAGAATGTTCATGCTCATGCAGTGGCTCTACTGCATGTTTCCCTCTCGGGTTAGGACATGTCATAGTAGCACCAAAAGTTTTTTATGTAGGGAACTGTTCCATACGCTCGGTCGAGATCCTTGCCATTACTATAAACAGACATGGCTCTCTGTTACTAAGCACATTGACATTGAACCTATTAGACGGAGTCGGAGGAAATGGAACGACTCGCAATCTAAGCTAGGGCGCTACTCGAGTATCTAGCATCGAGCGTGTTGGTTGTGTATACTACAAGTAGGTGTCTGTTACGGAGTAAGCCGGTAGGAGTAACGGGCGAAATATATTGCCAGGCTACTGGATTTTGTGGGGTTTTGAGGCCGTAACATGGAACGAGAAGGGGGTGGTTGGGCCGCTGAGGCTCTTTGAGACAGCCATGTGAGCGCCTACCTGCACGATGCAGCTCTGTTGATTCATATCGGAACTATACCGTTTATATCGGTGTTGGCCAAGGGAGAAGGAGTCTAAAAAGGCCTGCTTAACGCCCACCTACCATATTCAACTGCCGTATTTCTGTGCTCGTTTCAAACATCAAAGCAGATGAGGAAGCTCGCGGTACATATGTACCTTGGACTGCTCAGCTTTGTTTCGCGAGTGCAACTTAAAAAAGGGCAACTCGCGCATTCAAAATGGGCTTGAAAGTCGATATATCACTTGCATTTCTATAATTGTGGGTACCTGAAGCGTTAATGTTGCGTTTAGGCGCCCACGACTAGGCAGTTGTTAGCGCCTTGGTGCGTGGGTGGCAGGCATCGAGCAGGTGTGGAGTCTTGGCGGCACTGCTAAAGTTTACACTACGAGCGAGAGGCCACTTTTTTTTCTTCTTTCTTGGGCCTCTTGGATGCAATCAGAATATATGGGATTGATATTTGAGGCACAAGTCTTGGATCCTGCGGTAGGCATGGGGCAGGGTACGGTACGGCAGCAGTGACTTGGACAACCTTGTGGCGCCATCTGCCTGTGCTGTATATTGTGTCTACACCACCACAATATACACCACCGTCAAGGCACGATGCTAGTCATACCGCTGCAGCTTGGTGCTGCTGAGTGAGTTGGGCGGCAATAAATCATGGGCCCATTCCCCCCTCTGAAACAGATTGCTCTACCGCTCGCTAGTACCTTGTATAGAATCATTCCATGAATGTGTAGAATCCATGGATTGCATGTGAAGAAGCGGTGTTGTGCATCTTGACGAAAGTAGATGGTAGTGAGCACAGCATATAACGCTTTGACGCATCACCGACATCAAATCCCAGCTGCCAGCGGCTTCTACTGCAAACAGACGTCTCTCCCGGCCATGCTCGGCTCAAATTTCGTCATGCTCTCGTCGTGTCGTGTCTTGTCGTCCGTCTCTTGTCCCTGTCTCTCTTTTTATCTCTTTTTATCTCTTTTTATCTCTTTTTATCTCTCGGCCTCGCGCTTAGACTCAGACTCAGACTCAGACTCGACTCAGGCCCAGGCCCTGAGAAACGGGCGTCCGCTAGCCACGCGTTGGTCCCACGCCATCGTCGAGCAAAAAGAGGCTTGCCCACTGGATTGCCGTGGATGTACCTGGGCCGCGCACGCTAAGGTGCGCAGATGACCTGTACCTTACGTCGGCCCCTCTTTACTACGTCAGTAACGCTCGCTAGCAGGGTCAGGTATCCTTGCCAGTCATGCCTAGTGTCGAGGTACATCTTTTTTTAGGCGCCCGCGCCGCACAGTCGCCAGCGAGCTCGCTGACTTCAATGCTTGGGCAACCCGCCGGCCAGCAAAAGGCGAAACTTTGTGGTGGCATGCCAGCTATCGACTGTCGAAGTTTCTTTTCTTCTCTTAATCAGTTGCCCTACCCCTTTGGCATTACGGCTGCTAATGTTTCCCCGCGCGTGGAGCTTATTGAGGCGGAAAAAGTAACAGAGCCTACTGCATCTGAGTTTTGCTGTCGCCGTCCCGCCCTCTCCGGTGGCTCCCCCTCCCCCGTCGTGTCGAGCTGGCTGTGACGCTGCCCGCTTTGCCTCGTCATGCTGCCTTTTGGTGCGTTTCAAGCACCAGCCAGCGCTCGTATCAGTCCAGCCCAGAGTCAGCAGCTTCCAGCACCCTTCGGTTTATTATTCCTTTCTTTCCTCCCTTGGCCGCAAAAAGCACGCATTGGTACGACTTGCGCCGGGCCAGGGATGTATACAAGGGCAAAAGGGTGTCACATGAATGCATATTCTGTGCTGTCCGCCAGTAGCGCGCTGCGATCTGGCCTTGCGGTCTTCCGCCTCATACATTGGATTCCGTCCTTCCCGAAGAGGAGAGACGAAGCCAAAAAAGCCAAGCCCCTACCTTTACCTAAAGGACAGGAGAACGTGTACGAGTTTCTCAGGGTGGTAGGTTCAGCACAAGCTGATAAAATGGAACCTTGCCACGGCTGATGGGCGGGTATCTCAAAGGTAGAGGCTACTGCTGCTCTGACATCTGCAATCATCTCAACTGCTATTTGTTAGTCATTGCATATGCCAATTTCAATGGCAGTCTGAAGCCGGCAAGGGACCTGCCGCAGTAGTATTACTGGTAGTCAGGCCCCTGCGGCAAAAACTGGAGGTGATCATCGTAATCGTGCACACAAAAAGCACTGCCCGAGTCTGCCCGCAGCTGCTGTCGAAATGTCCCGTTTTGTCCAGGCACATTCGGCCAGCGTGTGATTTCCTGCCGAGCACTAACGATGCTCCATGCTCTGCTGCTGCTGGCTTACTCGTACCTAAGGTAGGCAAACAGGTCGAGCCTTTCTGCGCAACCAGCAGGTACCCGCTACGCACCGCATACTTGTCCAACCAGCACAGCTCCATAAAACGGGCGCCCATCGCTACGAGGAGGTTTGGTTGGCGCCGCTGCCCTGCCAATCCGGATCCGGACTCCACCCGTGGGAGGCGCCGTCTGGGGGAGAAGGAAGACGCAGAAGAGAAGAAGCGACAGGACAGGCCAGGACAGGCTGCAACAACATCGCCACACACGCTGCCCCTTGCGTGGTGGACGACTTCGCCTTTGCGCCGCCTTGGGCTTGCTGAACTCTGTGCCGCCGTAGGGGCCGACAGTGCTGCAACTCGCTCGCTCGCTAGCCAGAGCCAGCACTAGGCCAACCCAGGCACACATCGTTGTGTCACCGATCGCAGGGTCCGGCAGCCCCCCTGCTTGGGCTCGTCGATGCTGCTGTTGCTGCTTCGCTCAGCTGCGCTGCGTCTTTGAGTTTCCGATTCTGATCCAGGCGATCGTCCAATGGCACGGCCTCAGCGCAGGCCTTAGGTTGGCCACCGTTGCTGCTAGCGGGGAGCAGACAGGCATGCCCAGCGCTAGATCCTTGGAGCGTCTTTTGCCCGCCCACCACCATCACACTCCACCTCGCACTACGACAAGGACATGCACACTTTTTCTTTTTGATGCTATACAAGTAGGCAGTAGTCTACTCTGCCTTAGACGTCTAGACTAGCATTCCACCTACTAGTACTACTGTATTTCCTGCGCTGCATCCGCAATCAGTCAACCAGTCAACTGGCGCTCCGGCCTTGGGCAGCGCCTCAGTGCTCCTCGTACCTAGTCGCACGGCACTAACCCACGACACAGTTCCTTAGCTGGACCGCTAGCCGACTCTTCCAGCTGGACGGTGCTAGTGTAGCGCCTCTCTGACCTCTGCCAGCAGCCCAGGCCAGGTACCTGCTGTGCAGGCCCGACAGACACCTGCCAGCCTCCCGTACCTGGAACGCAGCGCCGTCTTACACAAGCACCCATTCCCTTCCCTTCGCATTCACACACCCATTCCCACGCCATCCTCAAGCTTTGGCTGCGTTTTGCCTTTTGCCCTTCTGCTCCAGGCTGCCAAAGCTACAACCCACAAGCTTTCTGGCCAGTCTCCCTTGCAACCTTAGCTGGCCCCTTGTCCTTCCTGACCTTCCGCCTCCGCCTCCCTTGCTGACCTCAAACAAACCACCCCCACCACCTTTTTTTCCCCTCCCCCTCGGCCCTACTTCAGCCTTCTGCCCATGACCTTGGCTCTCCGCAGCATCTTGCAACTCCAAACCTCTCCAACCACCAACACCATCCTGTGTCGATTCCTCCCGACCCGGATCGATCTTTATGCTCGCTACAGCCCAGATCATCCGCCAAGCTGCCATCACGTCCGGATTCTCCCTCGCCGGATGCTGGTCGCCGCTTCACCAACCTCGCTTTGCCTCTCTGCCCTGACGGTACCCGCAGAAAACTCCATAGCCCGGCCTCTTGCGTAATCCGTCTGTGTTGGATCGCCTCCTCCTGCAACCTCCCCTCCTCCCAGTATCAAGGCACGGCACGGCACCGCGGACGAGTTTGCACATCTGCCGGCGCTCTGTGACCATCATCGACATCCCTTGGACGCCCTCGCTGCGCCCATCATGGCGGCTGCCTTTCGCCCCGTCAACACCCCTCTCGCAGCGGAAATTTCCAAGCAAGACATCATCATGTCTCCGAGGAACTCATCTCCCCGGCCCAGCACGGCGCCGCAGGCACAGCTGCAGCCTTCACATCCCTCCGACGATGGCAAGACGCCTACGAGAGCCACCTTTAGCAGCATCAACATGAGCCAGAGACCCCTGCCAACAAGCCCGTTTGCTCAAGCGGCATCAGCCTCCTCCGAATCCACCGAGAATGGCCTGCACCGAAATGACTCTCAGCACTCTACGAGGTCGCCCAAGCGAGATTCGCTGGATGTAGACATGGACGAATCCGATGGAGAGAATGGAACTATCGATGATGGCGCCGGCTCCGACGCCGAGAGTGTAAATGCGGATGGAACAAGATCGGGCAAGAAAAAGAAGTCACAGCGGTTCTATTGCACTGATTATCCACCTTGCAACCTAAGCTTCACGCGTAGCGAGCACTTAGCAAGGCACATTCGGTAAGATCATTTATGCCCAAAATCTATTATTCCCTTTTTTTTTTCTTAATCAGATTAAAAGTTTGGCTAATGATTTTGACAGAAAGCATACTGGCGAGCGCCCCTTCCAGTGCCACTGTTCCAGGCGATTTTCACGATTGGACAATCTGAGGCAGCATGCCCAGACCGTTCACGTCAATGAAGATATTCCGATCGACTCTCTTGCGGCTACTGGATCGAGATTCCAGCGCCAGATCAGGACTGATCGAGTTCGCCAAGCTGGGAACAGAGCAAGAGCCTCTACTGGGGGCAGTGCTGGCGGCCCGGTGCGAGGACATTCCAAGTCTCTTTCGACCTCGAGCATCTCCAGCATCACATCCGTGGGATCGGCCTATAGCGCCCAGAACGACCCTCGGCGGCGCCCGCCCCCGCTTGTTATGGCTGTTGATCCCCGCTCAAGGCTTTCGCTCGAATCCTATCGCAGTAGCACCGACAGCACCTTTTCTTACCGACCTCAGTCTCCAGGCGATTATAGCACGCCCACGTCTGCCACCTTCTCAACGGCTCAGAGCAGCCCACGATGGAGCGCCGGCGTTTCTCCGTCATCTTCACACTCTCGATCCCAAAGCATGTATTCTATGGGTACGCGGACTCCTGGCCGCCGGCTGAGCGTTCCTTCGGGCACCACTCCCTTCCAGTTTGGTCAGGTTCAGATGCCGGGCCGCGGCCCGGGGCCGATGCTTGTCAACAGCTCCAACGCCGGCGCCCTCTCGTCTCCGAATGCAAACCTGGTTTCTTCGCCGACCATGTCGACATCTGGATTTCCGGGCCGTAGGGACTCGGTGGCGAGCAGCACCGGCGACGACTCATGGCGACGGCGAACCTGGCATCCTGATAGCCGCAGCTTTAGCGGCACTGCCCAGTTGAATGCTGTCCTCAGCCAATCAGTGCGGCCAAACCCTCCGCCGCCTATTGCAAATCCCAGCAACCCTCAGTCCACGCTTCGCCTCCCTGGTATTGAGTCTTTTGATCCTCTCCCTCGGACAGGTACTCCACCAAGGCGCAATGGATCACCAATGACTGTCGACTCCGAACTTGCCCACCGACCTCCTGTCATGGAGGCTATTGACGAGAGGCGAAACCTCAACATGTACGACGTTAGCCTTCAGCGTGGCCTTGGCCGTCTTGATATAGGACACAAGACTCCCCCTCGTGACAGTGCGGGAATGTGGGCGTCCGAGGTCCACAAAGCGGTTCAAAACCAAATGGAACATGCACGTATGAACCAGCCGACTGTGCGATTCGAAGAACAGCCGCGACCAAGCCACCAAGTGCCACCACCAGCCGCGCCGAGTAGGTCCTTTCACCAGCATACCATGTCGGCTCCCGCCCTAGCTTCGGTCAGAGAAGGCAAGGGACACGGCTGGTATCAAGGACCCCCTGCAGCTGATGCGCGAAACCCTCATGTCGAGCGAATGGTTCATCCCAACTTCACGGGCTTTGCTGGATTTCCGGCACGGGAACAAGCTCAAGAGCAGCGACAGCCACAAGTTCATTACCACCAGCAACCGCCACCACCGCCTCAGCAGCAGCCGCAGCATCAGCAGCAGCAATCCCATTATCAACAGCAACGCCAACAGCAACAAGATCGCTCCAACAACCCCGATTCGTTGAGGCGCCTTGAGGCCTTGGTAGCCGTTGCCACTAGCGAGGGCTCCAACACTGCCGCCGCCTATTAAGTCGGCTGCTTTGTGTTTTCTATCTGATGATGTTGATGATATTCCTTTAAACATATTTATCTGTCTCTGGAGAGAAGGATTGTTGAGTTATGATGATGTAAGTCGCCGCTGGCTACTGTGCACTTTGATTATCATCCATCACTCACTCTCTGCTCAAGCATTGACTTGTTATTTCTCTTTGCCGCCGTGTTTTCCAAATTACGAATGACCCATGATGGAACTTGGGCTGCAGTATACAGCATGCTATTTGATTTTTGTTCCCCCTCCCCCCCGCCTTTTTTTTTTTCAGTTTCTTACTCAATACCGCCACTCTCTCGTCTTGTCTCAGTTTCTTGCAGTTTCTCTTTGGGGGGCGTTTATCTGCGAATTTGTGGCGAATATGGCTGGATTCCTTTTTCCTCCTTATCAAGGGAGGAACTTTGCTCAACGATATGATATCTTTTGTCTGTTTACGAAATGGATTGGATAAGGCGTCTATGCGCAGCCAACGCCAACTGAGTTGCACTTGCGAATCTGACTGGGAGGCAATAAGTCTTCACAACGCTAGGCTACGGCCACATCAACACCAGTGGATCTGGGTTTGACGAATTGATACCCTTTAGCTTTGACTGGGTTTGGAACAGTGCCGCATCCGTTTTTTCTTACAATACTTTCTTTTTGTATTGTCGTCCTCTTAGTGATTGATACTCGGTGTCTTTGGATAGTCGTAACTGTGTCTAGATTCAATGCATGCTAGGTGTACTGGAGATCAACTCAAATTTGTTACATGACAGAAATTACACAGCGCTTGTGAGGTGGTGATAGTGCAGATACCCGAGTAAGAAGATGCTAAGAATACCATTGTACTTGCAGTCATTCCGCCCTTGATCAGCTTCTATTATACAAGCCGGTGTTACCAGACAAAAGTTCATTACGATTGACACCCGCCACGTCGGCTTCCAAATCATTGTTTACCTCCTTTATAGAGATTCTCGATAGTAACATCAAATTCCTCTGGTCGACGCCCCAGCAACTGCTCCAAAGAAGACGATACATACGATGTCTCTCCAGCACGAATGGCATCCCACGCAGTTGCCCAAGTCTGCGCAAGAGGACTGCTGCCAAATTTTGCAGTTACTTGCGGCTGCGTGGCATACTCATCCACAGTAACCTCTTGAATTTGTAAATCTCTCCCAGCCACCGTGGAGAGGAGTTTGACGGTATCGGCAAGAGACCATTCACGAGGCCCGGTCAGGGCTACAAGCCTGTTCTTCCAAGAGAAAGCGCCTGGATTCTGAGCGTACTGAGCAATAAGATTTGCCGAGGCTTCGCCCAGCTCATCTCGCTTGGCCCAGCTTATACCAGGCCCGGAGCCATCGTGGGGAATACGAATCTCAGTGGTCGTCGGGTCGTTGAGATCCAAGAAGGCGGTATAAATGGGGAACGACTCATGGTAGAGGCCCTCACGGATGGAAGTCCAGGAGAAGCCAGGATCCTTGGCAGCTAGTTTGCGCAGATGTGCCTCCGAGTCGAGGTGGGCGCCCATGACCTCTGCCAGCGTGGAGTCCTTGTCCGGCAGGGCAAAGGCGAGGGACGAGTAGAAGATGTGCTTGACGCCTGCTCTGTGGGCAGCATCCAGGGCCGGAATCTGCAGTGATGTGCGATATTCGTGGACATGGCTGGGGTAGGATATGAGGAACAGGACGTCGATGTCTTTGAAGGCGGCTTCGAGCTCGGTGGGCGATGCCTCGTAAGAAGCCTGACGGAGCTGGACGCCCTGGTCTTTGTAAATTTGGGGCGTCTTGTCTGGATGGCGGCTGATGAGGACGGTGTTGGAGGGGGACACCTTGTTGAGGAGATGGGTGTAAGTGCTGCCGCCGAGGCCGCCTGAGGCGGGGAAGATGCCGATGGTTGGCATGGTTTTGATTTGGCTTGAGTGGTTAGTACTGAATAGCTGTGTTTTAAGTTATTGGAGAGAGTATAATGATTTGATGCTTTTCTGCTCTATATAACCTACCAAGTATCAGGATGCTATTATAAATTGGATATGCTTTTATAATTTACTCCGTTCACTTCATCGGATTTAATCATTGTGGAGCTGACTCTCTGATGAACTCCATTGGTTGAAAGCACAATGACGTATGGATATATCGGGATTTAGTAATTTTTTGTTTACGATAAGATAAAAGGGCATGCTACTGCAATAGTATCATAGCAGGGATAGAGGTGAGTGTTGTAACAGGCATTAGCTGCTATAATTTGTTTCTAGACTATCAAGTACTAAAACATTCCCCCCTGGATCTAATTATAGGTATGGCAGATACTTAGCTAGGAACTTGTTTCAGTGGCTCGCAGATGCCTCCGGAGCTCGCGGACGTAAACGCGTCTGTTTCAGCCCCTCCAGCCGAGGATTAGGCGCGAAGGGGCCTCCATGTGGCCGATTAACTTCAACTTCCATTGAACCCATCTGGCTTTGATTATTCATTCCTCTTTTCGACTGTTTGTCTCTAATTGTTCACGGAGGTTGGTTTTAGCTTTCCCGCTTATTGTCGACGTTTCCGCTCTCCAATGCTCCAGCGGGGTGTCAGTTAGAAGCATTGATTTTCCACGGTCCTATCCGAGAAAGACACCTGGATATGGATGGCCTCGCCGGCGAGGTGATGGCGAGAGGTAAGGAGGCACTCCAAACCGGCTTCCAAAAGCTGGACGTGGGCAGTAGCTGATGCGATAGGCGTTGCCCCCCATAGACGCCTGGGCGTCACTTCCATCAAACCTGCTGCGCGCCGAGCTTCAAAGACGAGCAGATGACGGCGAGAAGCCCCAATGCGGCGGACACAATTCGGGGTGGTACGACACGGCTGCGCATGTCTTTGCGCTGCTTCTGATTCTGGTCCTGAGCACACTTGGTGAGAACAACCTGTGACGATTTGAGATTGCGATAGATTGGGGATTTATAGGAACAAGTCTTACTAATGGAGTTTCTGCTGTTAGCTTGCGGCCTCCCGCTATTCTCACGGCGAGCAACGACAGGACATCGACAAAAGGAGATATTATTCTACAGCCAACATATCGGTACCGGCGTTCTCATTGCCACGGCTTTTGTCCACCTTCTCCCAACCGCCTTCTCGTCCCTGACCGACCCATGTCTACCGTACTTCTTCAGCAAGGGATACACTCCTCTACCCGGACTCATTGCCATGGTCTCCGCTCTGGTCGTCGTGGGAGTCGAGTCCTATTTGACCGCTCGAGGCGCAGGCCATTCGCATTCGCATGCGCACGATTTCTGGGACGAGAACGACGAGGCCGAGGGTGATGCGCAGGAGCTGCATTTGCCGAGAGAGGGTCTGGCTGACAGGCGGGCGCGCATGACCGGACGACGGGCAGCGGATATGGATATCTCGCTAGGCAATTTGGAGGCGTCAGAGGGCCTTATTGCCGGCGTTTCGCCTTTGCCGGAGTCGAGTCCGATGGTGCCACGGCGCAAGTCTACTGAACACGCCGACGACGACGACGATCGGGATTCGGACCTCGACTTGGATCTGGGAGAGCTTGATCCTGCCCCTGCCGGTAGCAGCGCCCAGAATGGCCAGTACTCTTCGCTTGCGAAACCCAACGGCACCTCGGGGCGCCGCCACTCCCTGGACGGGAACCAAACACAGTCGCCAGAAGAGCAGAAGCGTCGCATGCTGCAGTGCCTTTTGCTAGAGGCGGGCATCCTCTTCCACAGCGTTTTCATAGGAATGGCAATCTCTGTGGCCACGGGCCCGGCCTTTGTCGTCTTCCTGGTAGCCATCAGCTTCCACCAGTCGTTTGAGGGCATGGCGCTGGGAAGCCGAATCGCGGCCATCCAGTTCCCCAAGGGATCCATTCGTCCTTGGCTGATGGTCCTCGCCTACGGGACTACCACTCCCATCGGCCAGGCCATTGGCCTCGTTCTGCAGAAGAAGTGGGATCCGAGCAGCGCCACGGGTCTTGTGGTCGTGGGCACTACCAATGCCATCTCCTCGGGCCTGCTGGTGTATGCCGGCCTGGTGCAGTTGCTGGCGGAAGACTTCTTGACGGAGAAGAGCTATCGCATTTTGAAGGGCAAGAGACGCTTGCAAGCCTACTTTTCGGTCGTGGCGGGCGCAGCGCTCATGGCGGCAGTGGGAGCGTTTGCTTGAAAGACCTTGGGTAGCGGCATGATTTTGATTCATGTGTATATGCTTCTGCCAGAACAATATCGAGGAGGGTGGTTTCTCTTCCGTACTTATGTTACGGCGAACATAAATTGGTCTTTTTTTTTTCTACTCCTTATTTTGTGAATCGAGTTTCTATAAAATGTGTATACTATTTTACCGTGTTTGGGCGCTGATGGAAAAGGATGGGCAAGCTTTTCATATAGACTCTATTGTTTTCTCTCAGCATCTATCTCGTTTATTTATAGAAAGGGAATGCAGGCAAGATTTGCGTTTTGGCATTTAACTAATTCGTTCATCCACTTACTTCTCTTGTGTGTGTTTACGTCTGCTATTGTGTCTTTTGCATCACCCGGGGCTATGTCTCTGTTCCGACACGGTGAATTGGGCTTCTAATATTGCGCTTCTGTTGAGAGTGTTGAAACGCGATATTGAATACAGCAGTGATGGCGGAATCATACCTCTACGACGAACCTTCTTTGACGACCGCTTAATAGCTGCCCTGGAACAACAGGTAAACAGAAGCTCCATTGCTCTTTCTCCAAACGCTCTTTCGCGCTTGGCCAAAACAATATCAAATGTGTCAGCTATTTGAAAGTTGTATATTTCACTATGAGTGAAATAGCCAATCTAAAAACAAGACAGTTGTGATTGGGAGCATTTGTTCTTCAGAAGAGTTCCCCTGACTAACTGCCATACGAGAGAGTAACCTCCTCCCAATCAAAGATGATATTGATAGTTATATAGCCTCGAGGCAGTCACTTCTATTTCCTTAAAGTATGTTTCTACTTCGTTGTCTAGAAATACAGCGCGTTTTCAACCTCCTTATTTTCATTGGAAACAAAAAGAACATGATTGGAGAATGGGCGGTTGTTTGTCAACGCCCTCAAAGTCTTCGAGACGGCGGCGACGTTCTGGGTCGTAAGTACTTATCCCCTATATCACACATGTTGATGGCTTTTTATGAAGAGTACGTGATTTTAACTCAGTTACGTACAGCAGATATAGATGCGCTCCGGTTAAGTACGAGTACAACTACACGGTCAGAAATGGCGAGACACTGTTGGTGCGGCGAAGAGTTGGGGATTCTCGGCGTCAGCGGACTGATGATGCTTCTTCGCTTGAAATGAACGCTGCGTCTGGCCATCGGAGCCGGCATCATGAGTCAAGCAGTCGGCGAAAACACCAGAATAAGAGGCAGAGCGGGTCTAGCAGCCATCAGAGAGGCAGTCAGCAACAAAGCCGAAGTGGGAAGAGCACTGGATATGGTGGCGGAAGTCAAAGTCATCGAAGCCAGGGTAAGTGAAGCATGAAAAAGTTCTAAAGAAAACAGACTAAAGGAGATGTATGGTAAAGAGTCTAGAAGTGCAAGAGACGAAGAGTGGGAGGCTGAGCAGCGTCGAAATCAAGTCGCATTCTGGGCTAGAGAATCAACTCGAGGACACGATAGGGCAAGCTCTCAGGGAGTTGGTGGTCAGGGAAGTCAGGACGGCCAGAATCCAGATGATAGAGTTTCCTCTCTTCACGAAAATGGCGATGGGGGGGTTGATGCCAGGCCTCCACCCTCCAATGCGTCGAAAAGGAAGTAAGACAGCCGACAACGAACTTCCGTGTTCTTCTGGACTACCTCTATAAAGAGTCGACAGGAATGGTAAGACACGCCTCTGTTGGAATGTCGGTGAGATGTCACAATCGCCAAGTTACAGGACAAAACTTGCATCGGTATGGAGGCTAACGCAGTAACCAGATACAAGCGTACGCGTGAAGATGCCGAAGTCGCACAAGTTTCGTGCCACAAGAAAGAGACTAGAAGCGACGTAGAACACAGAAAGGCTGCTGTTCTTTTCAGAGCCACGAGCAGAAGACAACATGCCGAAGACACAAGGCTTGGCTACCAAAGCGAGGATGGCCTGATTCGATCTTTTTTTGCTTCATTCGATGGCTTCTAAGATATAATTGTGATTGACGGAAGGCTTTTTGGGCGGGAAAACGGTCACACAGAGTTTCGGACGATGGATGGCATGGGCACATGAGCGATTGTTAGACTGTATGGGTAACATGACAATAGCGGGTTGAATGGATGATGGCAGTTATTCATAAAAAAAGAGAAGCTCGGCAGCTCGTGGCATTGCTGAATAGCCGAACATGATGCACGCAATCAGGAGACTCTATCTTTGATTCACGGAGATGGATATGAAGGCATCGACGAGTAACGAGCACACGAAGAGTAGTGAATTTGAGTCTTTAATAGCCATAATGATGCCGTAGAGTGATACTTTCCCTTGGCCACGATGAATCAATCGTAAGGTACATGATGCTCCATGAAGCAGTCAATTACAGCCACAATGTACCTTATATATACACCAAGACTAACTGCGCCTCTATGCACGTGTATCATGAGATCGCATAGAAAGATAAAGGAGGCACAGTCAATAGAGCAGGCCGCAGAAGCTGCGGAACAAAGAAGCAAATTAAAGTCTTGGCCCTTTTTTCTGGGTTTAATGTTGCTATCATGATTATCGGCATTGGTAATGCGGTATCGGCCATGACAGCTGCCAGTGGCAGGCAGAGTGGCACAATGAATAGAACAACAATTGCTGCATTGTTTGTTTGTTTGTCTTTTTGTTTGTCGTCCGACTTTGATCCTTATTTTATTTTATCTCTTCTTTTCTTCTTCTCGCGTGACTAACCGATCATATTGGAAAATCCAGCTAACGAACGAGGGCAAGACGGCGGAAGAATTACTCCTTTGACATACACCATCGAGGTGGTTTCCTCCAGCAACTTGAGAGCATTCATCATCTCTTCCCACTGTGCACCTTGTCTTTCTTTTTCTCTCCAAATCTACTTGTACTTGAAATGGGCTGCTGCTTCTCCAGCCAGGCATCAAATGCCAGTTCCCGCCATGACGAGCAGGGGCAGCATACGGCTCCTCCACCCCAACAGTAAGGCTTCACCTCTTTTCTCCTCCTATTTTCATGGGTAGCAGCATGCATGATACTGACTGCATCAACATCGATTAGAAACTCCCACGCCCAGACCAACGGCAGCAACGCCATGCCTCAGGGCCTCTTTGCCCCTCCAACATCGCCAACCGCCGAGCCAGCTGTGATACCGGGAAATGATGCCACCACCAACGAGGCCATCGCCCACAACGAGGCAGTTGGACAATCACGCATATTTCCCCGTGTGGAGTCGTCTTCTTCGTCGGCGACTTCTGATCAGCATGTGATCCTGGAGCCAACTGTCTACGTGCCGCCCTCTCGAATGAGTGTCGCTGCAGAGCTGGAGGAGGCGGTTGTCCAGTCGCCGCCACCTGCAGCTGAAGATGGATCCAGATCTCCATCTTCGTCGAGCTCTAGCTCTAGCTCAGGCTAATGCTATGACTTGGCGCATACTGGAGGAATAATTGCTATCTGATACCTGATACGCGTTTCTGGCCTGGATTTTGGTCACTTACTAAATGTACTACTGTTGGAAAGGCTACTAGTGCTATAATAATGCACACAAAGAAAGAGAGAAGAGAACAGGTTTCTGCAAACGTCTCCCCACCCTCTATTTCATTCGATTCAAGGGGGGATAATCTGGTGGTAGCACAATGGAATGGTTGGTGTTGGATGAGACATTTCAGCCTGTGTCTTGGGCGATGGTAGTGCAAACGGCTTTATTTTTGGCTGGGCAAGACATTTGATGTTCTTTGCAAGCTTCCTGTTTCGGCCGTTTTATGTAAAGGATTAATTTGAATAAAAATTCAGCATCTCATGGGAATAAAAAAAAAACAAGTATAATCAGGTAAATGGTGCATGATGCAAGAAAAAGAACACGGACAGAGAGAGATTGAGAAGGAAAATGGTTTAATAAAATAGAGCTGAAATATAAACCATCAGATAGAATTTGGTGAAGCCCTTAATAAAAGACCAGGCCTGGCTCATTCTGCCAATCCGGCGACTTTTGCGAAACTTGCTCAAACGCTCTCACAGGCTGCACGCACACGTCCAGGAGCCGTTTCTTTGATTCCTACTCACTACCAAAGCCAACGGCCGGGTGGATACGCAGGGGTGGCCTTTGCGCTGCTAAATAAACTCAAGCTGCAAGCCATTTAAAGCCAATTTCTCCCCCATCAAATGCTACATATTCCCCGAGGTTTAGTTGTTCAAGGTGCCATCCATCTGGCAGCATCCCCTGCCTTGTGTTTCCACGGTAAGCGGTGTGCCACTCGTTTCGTTGCTGAGAGCGTCCGTGCTCAGCCGGGTATAAATAAATAAGAACTGGACTGACCCATCAGCAGCTGGCATCTGCCGAGATCTGGAAGCAATCCTCTTCTTCTTTCTCCATCTTCCTTCTCCAGGACTTGATCACTTTCTCTCTCTTAAGCTCAAGCTCAAGCTCAGGCTCAAGGCTGTTTTCTTGTCATCTCGTTCAACAGACACGGGATTTCTTTCATCCTCTCCATCCAACTCTTCATCCATCAGAAGCACATATCAGCCATCATGAATATGCCCTCTGGCACCACCATAGCCGGCTCCAGCCCCACTGGCAGCGCCATGAACAGCTCCATGGGCGACATGGGCGACATGATGGGCATGGGAGGCAGCACATGCCAGATTTCCGTGAGTCCCCTTCTTTCGACGAGAATAGCAACATGAGCTGACCCCGTGACCAGATGCTCTGGAACTGGAACGTCATTGACGCCTGCTTCATCTCTGAGTCCTGGCAGATCAAGTCCAAGGGCATGTTCGCCGGTTCTTGCATCGGCGTCATCCTCCTCGTCATGGCCCTCGAGTTCCTCCGCCGCCTGTCCAAGGAGTACGACCGCTTCATCGTCAAGCAGCACGCCGCCAAGTTCCAGGAATCGTCTGCTCCCACCACCGCTGCAGCCAAGCCCACTGCCCCAGCCGATGCCACCAAGGCGGGCCTCGAGTCCGTCAACAGCCGCGAGCTGTCTTGCCCTGTCCGCGCCGCCATGCCTCCCTTCCGCCCAAGCGTGTTCCAGCAGGCAGTCCGTGCGTTGATACACATGGTTCAGTTTGCTGTCGCGTACTTTGTCATGCTGCTGGCCATGTACTACAACGGCTACTTTATCATCTGCATCTTCATCGGTGCCTATCTTGGCTCCTTCATCTTTCAGTGGGAGACTCTGAGTGTCGGGTAAGCTTCTTCTCGTCTCAGTCCGCCATTCACGGCTTCGGATGCTAACTCACTCATAGCCCGCAGCAAACCAGTGCTGCCAACGAGGCTACCGTCTGCTGCGGTTAGATGCCATTTTCGACACTCTTGGATGTCGAGTGAAACCGAGCAGCCGAGCCCGATGCCACGCAGAATTCGCGTGCAGTGTTACCATAATGGATCAGGGTGACACAACGCTTGTGATGCACAAGCAAGAATGCTGCGGTCAAGGAACGCACCATTCTCGGTTAAAGGGCCATGTAACGAATGAATGAAACGGGATATTTCAAGGGGAAAATAATATGGGCAGCTTTATATTTGCGCGATGATGGTCAAGGACAGCTAATAGCTAGGTATAAAAGGTTATAGGTCAAGGGCAAAGGTTAAATTAATGGAATGGATTTCAGATGGCAATAGCTTGCAAAAAACCGACTCGATTTCAAATCTCAACACGTATTCTGTGATTTGAAAACCATCGCTTCACATTTAATATCCACGAAGATGAGATTGGGGTATTATAGCAACACAACTCCGTGGCCGAGAATGTTCATGCACTGGGCAACATCCCAGCTCTCGTCCAGGGGTCGCATCGCCCAGACCTGCTCCATGATGTTCATGGCTTCCCTGAGCGTTCCAAACAGCTGCAGCCCTCCGAGTCGGGCCACCAGGCTCTTATACTTGAATTCATCTTCTGGAGGTGCCAGACAGCCCGCAACGCACAAAGGCCAGGCCACAGCCCCTAGACAGGTACCCATCGGGAGATTGTACAGCAGTTCTGTAGTGGTAGACACGACGGAGCTGATTTCCGGGCACGCGGGCTGCCAGCCCGACGTCACCGTGTTCAAGTAGATCAAGGCCGCATGCAACCAGATGACATTGTGAATGGCATACGAAGGCTGCTCGCCGAGAACCGGTACAGAAATAACGGTGGCCTGTGAGTCGGCCGTGGGGCATGTTGTTTGGATGGCCAAGATGCCGCCCTTGATTGCTTCGCCCAGAACCTGGCCTCGTTGCAGCAGCTCGTTGACGGACAAGGAGCCGGCCTGGCTTTGTTGCTTTTTCCACGAGTGCAGTGACGCAATGTCGCCAACGACTTGGACGACCCAGTTGTGCAGTCCGCGGAATTCTTCCATGCGAAGACTTCCCCCTCCCATGGTGCAAGGGCTCCATTCCGAAGTGTTACACGAGGGTATGATGGAGTTTTGGTAGCTGTACAGCCGAGGCGGGCATCCAAGCGACACGCTCGACAGCACGTCAATGTAGAGCAGGTTGGCCGTGAAGAAGCGACATGCCGCCTGGCTGGTGCTCCACGGCCGCGTCATACCCATCTCTGCCGGCGGCCAGGATTGGTTTATGAGGCTGTCGAGCAACCCTTCCCAGCCGTCTGGACTTGGGAGGACCTGTCGGAAGAGAGCAATAGCCGCGTCGAGATGCAGCTTCCAGTTTTCGCGATTGCCCGTGGCGACCTCGAAGATGAGCAGCTGGATGATGCTCTCCATGACGACCAGGCCTTCTTTCGGGTCCAGCTTGCGGCTGTGAAGCGCGCTGACCTCCTTTTGCAGCTCTCGCAGGCCCAGTTCCATTTGGTTCTGCAGGTTCTTGTTCATCTGGAACAGGCACTCGCCGTGCTCTGGCTCGCCATTGTTCAATATCAATGCAAAGTAGTATGAAGCGATTGACACGGTGATGTGGTATAGCGATTTGTTGGTCGACTGCAGGACATCCAGAATCCATCCACGACCACCCACGAGGATATGAGGCCGGTAATGCGGGAAAAGATGCGGAAACACATAGTCCAGATACATGCAGGCGTAGTGAATATCCGCCGAGCGGTCAGTCTGGGTCAGACTCTGCTCATTCGACTCGGCGAAGAAGGCCTGCGTGTGCCAGGGGGCTTCGGGCGGAGACGTGGCGGCCGTGCTGCCGCTGGATCCATGGCTGTTGGGAGACTCCTTGGACGACGGCGCCGAGGTGCTGGCGTATCCGCGCTCTGAATCGCCTCCTGCGCTGGTTGTTTTCCCAGCCGCTGCCGGCGCTCCATCTTCAGCAGCGTCGCTGATGCTGACCTGCCGGGTGCCCGTCTCCAGCATCTCGAGATACTTGCGATCGCGCCGCTGGCTGGCCTGCTTCTTGACCTGCGACTTGACAAACTCGGTCATCTCCTTCTGCTTGGGGCCGCCGTCCATCCAGTCGGGCTTCTCGCCAAAGTGACAGGTGATTTCCAGGGCATCGCAGCCGGAGCATGTGGGCTTGCGCTCATCGCACTTCTTGCGACGCAGGCGGCAGGTGTAGCACCCGGACTGCGACCGCACTTTGGACGACAGGAGATGCTTTAAGGAAGACATGGCCTCGCCTTGTCTGAGACTGTCTCTTTTTCCGTCTTCTTCTCTAGCTGTGCGCAGTATTTCTTTCTGTCCTTCCTCCCACTTAAACGCCGGTTGGCCACACTGAGACGATGAAGCGAATGGCGCGCAATATCCGTGGCTCCAGAGGCGCGATTGCCGAAAGGATTGGGGTGTGTGCTGTATTGTTTCTTGCGTATGGTCCTGCGATCGCGCAATCCAGACTTTCATACGTCCAGACTGCCTTGAGTGGAGGTTGAATGAAGATGCGATGGGTTACTAATGCGGGATACGGGGTTTCATCTAGCACCGTGATCTAACCAGCGCCATTGCACGGTGTAATACGGGGTTTAGCAGCTGCTTTCTGCGGGCGGCACGGAGAATATGTCGGGCAAACAGACAGGAGAGGCTGCAAGGAGTGCAATAAGGCTGAGGGTGCGCTGCGCCTTTCGCACAGTGCGGAGGCGACGAATTTCCCGATTCAGATGCTACCCTAAGAATAAGCCTCGGATGGCTGTCGAGGTTGATGTTAGTGACTGTGTCTTGCCATGATAGATGATATCTAGATGATCCATTCAGTTCTAAAGTCGATTATCAATGAAGAAGTAGTTTATTATTTCTGTGCAATTGACTGCGTTTGTTTCTATTCTTCCTGTCTTGCCCGATTTCCCGATATGAAGGATCTCATTTCCCGAAAAAAAAAATTAACCTCCCCTCCTGACAACTACCTCCCAAATAGAGGCTGCCTGTGATCCACACAATCTTTGTGTGTACTGTAGTATAATTATAAGCAGAAAATTGCTTTCCAAAACCAATCCTCCATCACACATTAAATCTTGAGCGTATCTCAATCCATCGCCATTTTTTAAACAAAGGAAAAACTCAACCAGACTTCGAAGCTCCAAACAGCGTCTGCCTCCTTTCCAGCAGTCCCAAGTCCCACCAGCCTTCTATCCGCTGGAGAAGCGTCTTGCGCTTCTTCCCAGTCATCGACATTGGGCTCGCGGGAGGCAGGCTCAAGTTGTTAGATGACAGCGGAGATGGAGGGATGGGTGGTGGTTTATGCATTGCGAAAGCCGGTGGCAGAGGTGGTAACGGCGGCATCTCCTCAACTGGACGCTTCATGCTCTGCACACGAGGCCGCTTCGTCTTCTTCGCTGCCGTGGGTAGCGGGGGAAAATAAGGGTGAGAGTCGTTAAGGACCTGAACAGGAATGTTCATATCCAGATCCTCATCGGTACTATCGTATAGCGACCTCCTATCCAGGTGCTGTTTGTTTGCCATGGCCATCGTCCCAAGGCTCCGGGCCTTGCGCAGCACATTTGGGGTTGGAGGCACCCCCGAGAAACCGTCACGGCAGCTATACCCTCATTCAAAGTCTGTCGTCTTGCGAGGGCGGTCTGTGCCTCCCTTGATGCGCCTCCACAGGCAGATGGCTGCGACGGCTGACATGAAGAACAAGATGGAGGTTGCAATGGACAGGCCCCAGACTGCTTTGATTTCGTAACACGATGCCTTACTGGGAGCAGCCCACTGGAAGACATCGGACGACGAATGCTTGACGTTGGCAAAGAGCGAGTAAATAAAGGCGCCAGTGTTTCCCTGCTGAGGAAAGGCGCTGCAGTTGAGGTAGCTCACGGGCCTGCCGACAACACAAGCCACGACAATGGACGCGATGAAGCAGAGGCCGTCTGCTGCGGTTGCAATGAGAAGAGGAAGCATGTGGTCCCAGTATAGGATGTACGAGATGATGATGTACACCATAGCCAGACATGCCTATTACAGATGGTTAGTCTTCAACGCCAACTACATAGCCATTACGAAAGGAAGAGCAAGGAGCAAAAAGAAAAGTAACTCACCACAACCAGTGTGCCAATCAGGGCAGATGGGGTAGAAACTGAAGTAGAGACCAGCTCCGCGACAAAATTTCCACTGAGGCCAATGATTGTAATGAGACAAACTGCCTGCAGAAGCCTCATTGCTGTAAACATTGCACCCAGGGCGCCCAGCGCCGGCGGGGAGCCCATATTGACACGAGGTAGAGTTTGAATCGACAATTTGGGCCGCGTGCGCTTTGCCGTCTTGAGAGGGAAATGTTTGGAATATTGCGGGATGGGAGACGTTGAAGCTGAAAAGGAAGAAATTTTGCCGACGGGGGATATTCGACCAGCAAAGGTCGAAAGGAAAAAAGAAGAAAAGGAAAAAATAAGGGAAAAGAAGGAGGTAAGTTTGTAAGAGCTGAGGCTGCGATCTCTTCTAGAGATTGCGGTAGAGAGATGATTCAAGCTTGAAAAGATAACTGGAGTTGCAGTTATAAACTGAGAAAGAGGCGTTGAAATTCCGATGAAAGACAATGATACCATGAACCGTGGGTAAAGAAAGAAAGACTGTAATAGTAACAAAGGAAAAAAAAGAAAAAGGGTAAATAGCTTGTGATGAATGACTTGATTATACAGAGGAAAGAGAGATCGAAACACACAAAGGAGGCTCAAAGGACTCTTATATATCCCCATCCCTTAGATTCTACGAACAGCTCTTTATCACTCTTCAGACGCTACCGACAGACGCGCCAAATCAACATGGATCAAACCGTCGGTCTAGTCTGATAAAACTTTGCCGCAGACAAGCGAGACAATTAAGCGCGGTCGCGTTTCAGGCCCCTCCATCTAGATTCCCAAGATTTCCTTCTCACAAATCTCCTCAATAATTAGTAGAAGCAAAATTAGAATAGAAACTTGCTCCACCACCTTCATGGGAAACACTTCCATGCCAAGTTTCACGGTGAGCCCATTTCAGCCGCCTAGTTGACTAATAACAACCCAGTACTTGGGCTTTCATTCTCAAACGGCCTATTTCTGTTTTCATCGCTTGTAGCATCTCACCATGTGTTTAAGCGCCGGAGTATCCATTCGGTGAGCCGGAGGATCAAGCCCCACCAGCCCGACGATTGGATCGGAGCGCTCCGCTGGGCAAGATTTCACTTTGGCACCCCTGTCCGGGATCTTGTTCCTGCATTTGCGCAGATGGATTAAGAAAAAAAGATTAAGGCTCAGCTCGATGGCTTGTTTTCCCTTTTATTAGGCGGCCGCATGGTCGGCCGCATGTTTTGCTGAGCCGGAACAAAAAGGGGAACTGGTTTGAGCCAATCGACGACTTTTGTCGGCACAGCTGGCCTGGTTCATAGTATGGCATGAAACGCGAACAGCCAGACGATGCGCCGAGAAAACCTGTTTTTGCTCTTACTTTAATGCACACGAAGCAATCTGGTTATTCACGGCTATACTTTTCTTCATATTATCCCGAAATTGTTGCTCTCGAATTCATCAACTCGTGCGCCATGAACGCCTATGTAAAATCTCGAAAATGCTGCATCTCCATCGCTCGCCTTGGGATGGTCTCGAACGCGCTTTTACCGACAGGTTCCAGCCACCATAATTCATATTATTTTATAGCCTATCCTCATCATCTGTCTCTTGCCTCTACTTACTTACCCAAGCAAATCTCCAGAGGCGGAACCGCCCTGTGGAGCTGAAGAGGGGTTTGCTGCGGGTGCTCCCCAGATGCTAGCACTGCTCTTCTCCTTGGCCAGTTGGCCCAGTGCTGGCCCGGCGGTGGGAGTGCTGGGCTTCTTGATGCCGACACTGGCTTTGCCCCAGAGAGCACCAAATGCATCTCCGCCGCCAGAGGCTGCTGCTTTGCCATTGGACTTGTTGGTGGGCTGCAGACCGGCAGTGGGAGTCTGGGATGACACAGATCCTCCAGTAGGTTGAGCCTGTACAGTGCCAAAGTAGTTGGGCCCTGTGGGCTGGAAGCCTGCAGGTTTGGCAGGCTGCATCGGAATGCTGAATGCTGAGTTCCCAGCAGCAGGCGTGGCATTGGTGCTGCCGGCTGGTGAGATGGAAGCGATGCTGACCATCTGACTGATGCCGGCTTGCTGCGGCGCCGACAGAGGCTTGGGAGCAGCAAGGTTTGAATACGTCGGCGACGTCGGTGAGGTAGGGGATAGGGGCTGAGAGAAGCCAGCAGAGGGTGCTAAAGGCTGAGCTGCAGGCGCTGAGGGAGCTGCCTCTTGAAAGTCGTCAAACTCGTCATCGTCATCGTTGGCGGGAGCAGCGACGGTGCTGAGGGGAGCGAATCCGCTCAGTCCAGAGCTGCTGGATGCGGCTGCTGGAGCAGCCGCAGCGGGCTCATCAAATGAGAAGAGGTCCACCTCAGGCTCTTTCTGCTTGGGAGGCGGCGCCGTTTCCTTTTTGGCTGGAGAGCGTGCTGAACTTCTCGCGGGACGAGAAGAACTGGCCGCGGGACGCACTCCCTCGTCATATTCGTCGTACTCTTCAAATCTCTCTGACCGGTTCTGGGTGTCGCGGAAATCGCTCGTTTGGCCACCAAAGCCGCCGCCATCGCCATATACACCACCCGAGTATCCGCCGTAGTCTGCAGAGGCACCACCACCACCGCCATAGCTAGACTCATTGCCGAAGCCGCCAAAGCGACCGCTGCCTCCGCTTGAGAAGCCACCCATGCCCATGCCTCCCTCAGCGCCGGTGTACTTGTTCTTTGTTACTCGGGCCTTTTTGCGCTCGGCGCGAATCCGCTCAACGTCGCCCAGGAGCTCGGCAAGTTCCTTGGCTCGGTTTCGTACGTTGATACCTTGATCCTTGCCGTTCTGGTCAATGAAATGGAACTGGCGCAGCATTTTCAGAAGCGTGATGTGTCCGCGCGCATCGTCAACAACACGCTCCGAACCATGCTTGATGAGGAATTCGAGTAGCTGTAAGCTCTTATAGATTTGGCGCCACTCTTCTGCAGACTTTTCTGTGAATCGACGATAGATCATTGGCATAATCTCATTGAGTTGTTGACTGCATCAACGTTAGAATTCAGCAGGCATGCATCCAGTTGGGTAGCCGTGCGTGCGTACTAATTGAATGTGCCGTTGGCAATCTCTTGCATCAGAGTGGACGATGCTCCCCATGGCTCGTTATTCGTCGCCTCTCGTACCTAACGCGCCGCATTCTCAGCAAATATGTTTCGCCGTAATGGCATTGCTATAGCAAACCTTTGCCTCCATCTCGGTATAATTCATGACAGCTAATCGATCATCGGCGTTAGCATTAATCCCCTTAAATTCCATTGGGCTGCGCGGAGAGCGCCATACCATTTTGCGCCTTCCGGAACCCAGCCTTGAGATCATACAAGGTCAGGTTCGAGACGGTATTCTTCAAATCGTTCAAATCCATTTTGGATAGACCCAATCAGCAGAACAAACGCGACAGAGATGTCCAGGAGAAAGTGAAGGCAGAGCCGGATGGGTGACGAGACTGGCGATGATGGTTGGAACTACACGGTGTCGCCGAGCCTGGACACTTGGACACAAGCGCTGGTCCACTGACTCGGGCTGCTAGCACATTACGAGGACTCCGACGGTCACGTGATGTAAGCTATTAACAGTCGTGTAGTCAAAAGAGGCTATTTAGTTGTCAATGCGAAGAGCTCAACATTAGAATACCAGTTAGACTATAGACTGTGACATATCGCATAGGATATTCTTGCGCTTTTACTGGGCATAGGGGCTCTTTTAGCTGAAGCCGTAGTGTAGTCTATCAAATCCATCAAATGCCCACCTGCTTGACCAATTTCCCTATTCCAGAGACCCCAACTATGGATTATTAACATCAACCTGCGCCGGATCCGCGCAAGAACAGCCTGAGACTTCAGGCCATAACGGCAGCAGTGCGCACTGGCTACTGACATCACCCAAAACTCTTCATCTCTGCGAGCTGTCCCATCAACCCCGGTATCGAGGCTACATCTTTGGCTTGGATCCTTTTGTGTAGAATCACCGCTGTGATACGTTTGACTGCAAGGTATGCTTCTCTCTTTTTTTTTTTTTTGCCCTCCTCTTTGTATTCCTCTCCCATTTCCATGCAGCCGCAACGCATCATCCGGCCTTTGCAAATGGACCAGCGGCCAAGGACATGAAAAGCAACAAGACAAAAAAATCTGCTCCTTGTTGGGACAATTCCAGCCAATTGCCCGCCCCTCAGGAATTGCACCGCCTGGCGGGCTTGCCTCGGGCCTTTGAACCGGTTTTGGCCATTTGTTTGCTGGGAGCTGCGCAAAATTCCAAACAGCCAGCTTTCCTCTGGGCATGGGCCAAATGATAGGCGGAGCAGCTCCGCCCGCAGGAAGAGGTTGGAAGGGCTTTGGTGCTGGGCCGTCCAATCACGGCGCGCCTCTGCCCACCGCCCACCTGTTGTCTGGCGCACACCAAGTCACGTCAGCTCTCGGTTGGCGATCAGGAGCCAGCCGCGCAATTGCGGAAGAACCGCGTCGAATCCAGCTGTTCCGTCGCCTCCTGGGGGGCTGTTCCGGGCCTCGAGCGCGAGCTGAGCGGTCAATGAGCCTTGGAGAGGCGAGCGTCGAGCAATTGCTGCTGCAGCCGTGGACAAAGCCGTGCGAATAAAGCTCTGACAGCTCGAGAGCTCCGAGCTTTGCCGCCCGCTAATTTGGCGTCGACGTCAAGCTGCCGCATACCCTGGGCCAGAAACACGTGATCGGCTCCTCTCCTCGCACCCCACCGTCTCCCTTGTCTGCGTCGCTGATTGGCTGTTATCTGTTACTAATCGTTACCCCTCCAGCACAATTCAAAATGAGATCAGCTCTCTTCCAACCCCTCCTACCCCGCCATACCTTTTGCTCCCCCGGCTTAAGAACTTTCTCTCTCCCTCAACGCATTGCTACTTCATCCACCTTTGCGACCACTCGATTCTATTCACAGCCAGCCAAAATGTCTGCCAACCGATCCCGAGTGTAAGTGCTCTGTGAGCCTCCCAGAGAACATCATCATCCTCTAACTAGACCAATGCAGTTTCTTCGACATCGCCTGGAAGGGCCCCGTCTTCAAGGACGGCAAGCCTACCTCTGAGATCAAGGGTGAGTCTATTCTGTCGCAAACCCCAATCCGCTAGCGCTGTCAATGAAAGACCGCGTAGAGAAACCAAACAGGTACAAGTGGAAGCTCAACAGCTGCTCGTTCCTGTTTCTCTCTTGGCCTAATCCCTCTACTGCTCCGGCCATGCCTGCTCCGGCACTGATTGGCTACTTCTCCCTTGCTCTTCCAATTATCACCGCACGTAGCTGTAGCCGTCCTTGAGACTTGGCACTAATACGCCTATGATAACAGAGCAGACCGGTCGCATTAACTTCACCCTGTACGACGACATTGTCCCCAAGACCGCCGAGAACTTCCGTGCTCTCTGCACCGGCGAGAAGGGCTTCGGCTACCAGGGCTCATCTTTCCACCGTATCATCCCCAACTTCATGCTCCAGGGTGGTGACTTCACCCGCGGTAACGTATGGATTACTCGCCCCAAGAAACCAATTGTTTAAGGTCGGTTGACTGACACATCTCCAGGGTACCGGTGGTAAGTCCATCTACGGTGAGAAGTTCGCCGATGAGAACTTCCAGCTGAAGCACGACCGTCCCGGTCTGCTGTCCATGGCCAATGCCGGCCCCAACACGTAAGTCCACTTCTATCAAGCATCTCGATGCGACTGATTGGCTAATTGGCGATTCAAATAGCAACGGCTCCCAGTTCTTCATCACCACCGTTGTCACCTCTTGGTTGAACGGCCGCCACGTCGTTTTCGGCGAGGTCGACCAGGACTGCCTGGGCATTGTCTCTGCCCTTGAGGCCACTGGCCGTGATGACGGCAAGGTCAAGTATGAGCCTCGCCCTACCATCACCGCCTCCGGTGTCCTGTAAGCTTGTGTAGTGCGGCTACATGCTCTGCATGTCCATTTGGCGGCAGTCTGAGACCATGATTTTTGTTGTGGCGGATAAAAAGAGGCTCAAAAGAGCGAATACATCGCTATATCCTTTAGCTAGTCATTAAGGTGCTGCAAAGCAGAAGAAAAATACAACCCATCGTATAATACAACATGACCATCCCGTATTCAAGTTTCCTAGATTCAGCCACATTATTGACCAAAGTAAAAGACCGTGTAAGTGTAATGGGCATCATATAGAGGGTTAAATGGTCAACGACCCTCTCCTCAATTAGACTCGCTTTAGTTGTTCCTATTGTCTCAAGCCTTGTGAAGAGTCATGGGTGTGTTTCGAGTCTCAATACAATATGTATTTTTACGCTCAATCTTCTGCAATAGCCCATCTGCTGACCCATTATGCGCCAAGTGCCAAGTAGTATAGAGAGATATATACACATCCCCAACAGATATTGTTGCGAGGAATATCCCATGCCAAATAAACTCCAAACAATGCAAATTGATATCTTTTTTTTCTTCTTCCAGCCCCTTCCCGCTCTCCCGCCATTTCTTTTTAGAAAATCTCATCTTTGCCCAGCCATTTCTTGAAATATTCACAATTGCTAGGCCCTACAGGACCACCATCCTCGCACAAGTCAAACACGGGGCACCGTCCGCAGGGCACCTCCGCCAACGGGCTGATGTACAGCTCCGGCCCGCCGTCACGGCCCGAAGGGTCCTCGCGGCCGGCCCAGCTCTCGACGGACTGCTTGGCGATGCGCGAGACGCGGTAGCCGATCTTGCCGGCGATGCGGACGGGCTCGATGAGGTTGTCCCAGACGAGGACGTCAACGAGCTTCTTGACATCGCCCTCGGATAGGATGGTGTTGTTGGTAATGCCGCTGGAGGAGAGGAGGCGAGCGATGTCTCGGACGGTTGGGTAGGCCGTGTAGCCTGCTGGTAAGGGCAACAGGGCGGGTTCTCTGCGGGAGGAGGAAACAGGTTTAGGGGCGGCGGCAGCTTTGCCTTCCATCTCGGAGGCGTCGCGCTTCTTGCCCTTGTTAGCAGCATCTGCCGCTGCGCCGAGGCCGCCCTTGATGACGCCCTTTTTGGGAGCTTGTGTGCTGCCCGCTGCTGCTGATGCTCTAGCCTGCGCCGCACCATGAGTGCTGTGGTAGCTGCTCTGGCGCTTGATAAAGTCAAACACCACGCGCTGCAGGTCCTCGATGAAGGCCTCGTCCAGATCCTGGTCCGTATACCAGGGCCCTCCGGTGGCGCGATCGCTGGGCCGGATGGACGCCTTGATGTACATCTTCTTGTTAGGGTGCTCGACGTTTTTGAAGGGCGCGATGAGACCCTTCGCTTGCAGTTGCTTGATGGCATTTTTGAGGACCGAGTCGTGCATGTTGAGGCGCTTCTGGAGGGTCTGCGTCCAGATGCCGTCGCCGCCGGAGTCGTCGATGAGGGAGTATACCATGACTTGCTCGTCTGTTGTGCATTGCTTATACCTGTAGTTTACATGATTTAGAAAACCTCGCCATATATAGATAGAGGATAAAGGTAATACTCACTTATGCGCCTCCTGCTTGTCTCGCCACTTCCACAGCACCTGTCCCGACGCCTCCCTCATCGTGATAAACAGCTTGTCATCGCTGAGCGACTGCACGACCCGCGCAAGCAGCAGCAGGTCCCGGTTGGGAATGACCTCCATGCGGAGGAGGTCGTCCTGCGAGAACATGTCGCCTTCTTCCCTGCACCGGTCGTAGAGCAGCTCCTTGAGGACGGCCAACTTCGCCGAGTCGGCATCGCTGCCATTGACCCTCGAGGAGGAGCCAGCAGCGACGGGGGCCGACATTGCGACGGCTGCGGAGAGGAAGAGGACCGGCGAGTTCTGTTTTGAGGCTGGAAGTGGTTGTTTGAAACTTCGAGATGATATGGCCGTCGAGGGACAAGATGCTGATGGTGGCAATGTAGAGCAGCGAAAAATAAAAGTAAAAGAGTAACAAGGCTTTATGAGTCACCAGGCTGCCTTTCCTCTCTTCTTTCTTGCTCCTTCTTCGTCTTCTCCCCTCTCAATGAGGCGTAGTCGATTGATTTGTTAGCGCTACATTGACTTGGGCGTCTTGGACGATAGAGTCTCTCTGTCTCTTCACTTTTCTTATCGGGTCGGGGCGATAGGCCCAAAGTGTGTACAGTTTCTATGGTGGGACACGAGCCTGCCGCCTTTTTTTTTTTTTGGACTTGTTCTCCTGGCCGTTAATAGGAAGAGGCTTAGTGGGTACCTTCCAGCAGCCTTGCATGCCGGAAGAATCTCGGCATTTGCTGGAGAGTGTCATTCATCCAGATGGTTATCAACCTTGGTTGAATACAATAGAGGACAATTGATTTTCAGGAGATTGGCAGTTTCATCTGATAATTGATTTTCCAAGAGGTATTTATTGAATTGGTTATAGATTTACTCTTTTGTACGCTATTGATATAGACTCCAAGCAGATAAGAAATAAAAGAAACAATCAGCCAAATTTGAATAATAGGCAAAGAATCGAACTGACATTAGCCTGGCGCCCAACAAATGGCTCGATATTGCCATATGGTTTCAATGTGCCCTGCCAGTATCCTTTGCGCCGGAAACGCCTCCCTCGCCTACCCACTGATCTACAACGTGAACTGCATCAACGTAATTTGGAGTTTCTTTGCTCCATGAAACTCGGCCGAGAGTCTTACTGCTCGGGGGATGTTTGATTAAGCTGGCGGTGTGCTGGCCTTCTTGGGCTCCGCCTCACCCTTTTCTTGATCAATCTCCATTGCATCTGCGGGCTGCTCGTTCTTCTCTTTCGCATCGGATGATGCCTCGGGTGACTTCTCTGGCTCGGCTTCTGAAGGCTTTGATTCCTCTTCGACGGCAGTTTTTTCGGTAGCGGCATCAGCAGCATCGGCAGCAGTTTCGGGTGCGGCTTCGGCTTCGGCTTCAGCTTCTGCTTCGGCTTCAGTTTCGGCTTCAGCAGTTGCAGCAGCTTCGGTAGTGGTGTCGGCAGCTGGCTCAGATTTCTCTTTTGAACTCTCCTCTGGCTCTTCTTCTGCTACGGGGCTCTTGCTGGGAACTCGCTCAGGAGCTGGTTCAGCTTCAACCTGTTCTTCCTTGATAGGTTTTTCTTCCTTGGGCTCCGAGTCGTCGGCCATGCCAACATCACCATCATCATCCACCTTGTCCTTTTCTTTGTCGCTGTCCTTTTCTTGCTCGCTTTCTTTCTCCACCTCCTTGTCCTTTTCAAGCTCGTCGGGCTCAGTTTCCTTATCCAGAGCCATCTTTTCTTGGTCGGCAGCAAAGTCATCGATGGTATCGTCGTTGACATCTTGGGATTCCTCAGCGGCTGGCGCTTCAGGAACACCGCCATTAGTGGCAGCGGCGGGTGAGGCCCGTTCGCTGTTGTCTTCCTTGTCGCCTGTACGGTAATCGTTAAAAGTTCTCTTATTGCCGTTGGCACGGGTGGCTCCGTTTGCGCGGGCCATTTCATCATCGTCGCTGGGCTCAAATTCATTCTCATGCTCGACACGCTTGTCCCAACGATGTTGAGTCATTCGGACGTCTTTGTTTTCATCTTCGTCCATGTCATCCAGTTCGGCCTCCTCTTCATCAGTCATGCCACCAAATGGCTTCCGAGGAACATCTTGCATCTGAACCGATGGGGCCGGGCCGGTGTGGCGGAGGTTATCAATGACAGCAGCAGTAATCTTCTCCAGATACTCTCTGCTGTTAGAGTTTTCCATGTTAGATGACCTAACATTTAGCTCAAAATCAGGAGCATAATACTAGTAGCCGTGTTAGAAAAAAACGCTCTAAATCATGCCAAAAGGACAACACGTGGACCAACCTCGTAATACTCGTTGTATGGAAGGGTCCGGTCCATCTCCTGACCAACCAGGACACCCGTCTCGAACGCCCACGTTCGGGCAACATTACGCATGGTGTAGCCGCCTCCACCAAGAACCAGAGTAGGCAAGTTGAAGCTTTTGACGAAGTTGACACAGTTGGCGTGGCCATCCATGCTCAGGTTGAAGGCACCCAGACGATCTCCAGACAGACTGTCTCCACCACATTGCAAGACAACAGCCTCGGGCTGGAAGTATTTCATGACGTTCTCAATGACAGGCTCAAAAATCGATTTGTACGAATCGTCGGTGATACCGTCGCGAAGAGGGAAGTTGACAGCGTAGTTTTTGCCTTGGCCAATGCCAATGTCGCGAAGCTCGCCGGTACCGGGGAAGTATTCGCCGTATTTGTGAAATGAGACGGTCATGACACGATCGGTGGTGTAGAAAGCTTCTTCAACGCCATCACCGTGGTGAACGTCAATGTCGATGTAGAGCACACGCTTCATAAATCGAAGGAGTTCGAGAATTCCGAGGACGATGTCTGCCAGTCAATGATTAGATTATATCGATTACACGACGATATGGATTTGGATTCGTATGAGAAGAGATATGAATGTGGGAAAGAGCTTACCATTCACGTAGCAGAAGCCACTGGCTTCGCATTTTTTCGCGTGGTGTAGACCGCCAGCCCAGTTGATAGCGATGTCGCACTTTTGCCGATTGAGACGCGCTGCGCCCTCCATACTGCCGCCCGCACTGATGCCGCAGAATTCAAAAAGGCCGTCGAAAACGGGGCAGTCATCGCCGACATTGTATTTTCCCTGCTCTCGCATATAGCTGTCCATGTTGTCGGGCGTAACCTTTTGCAGGAAATCGATGTAATCGTCGGTATGGAATTGGGTCATTTCGCCGCGAGTAGCCGGTTTGGCGCGCTGTTGTGCTGTCAGTAATCCATCATAATCCGCATCGACACTGGCATTGCGCCAAAGAGTCACGATAACAAGAGACTTATGGTCGACATACGTAAATCTCCATCTTCTGATACAGATTGTACTGCATAATCAGACTGTGGGCTAGTCGAATTCGATGAGGCTTCATGGGATGGCCGGTGACATAGGCATAGTTTCCAATATCAGAATCGTAAAAGTAGGCGACTTTCTTCGGTGACGACCCATTGAGGGCCACCGAACCGAGCCCCGACATGGTGGTGTCGCCCATGGGGAAAGGCTGCAACGCTGAGCTGCTTTGCTTGTCAGAGGTCGAGAAGCGCCGATTGGCAAGGTGTGACTGATGGTACTCTTGATGAGAAAAGAGAGCAACAAACAAAACAGAAAGAATCCAAAATTGGATGGAGTAGCAATGCGAGTAATCGGTCAGAAGGATTTTCGCATAGCTGCGTTGGCGGCGGCGATGTGAAAGAAAGCTGAGTATAAGTTGGCAGCAGTGGAAAGCCGATTAACTTTCGTCAAGGGAAGGGCGGCGGCCAAGCACAGAGGCCGCTGGCTGGCGAACAAGCGGATAAATATTGGGGCGGCAAGGCTGCGAATCTTGGGTTGGCCCACTAAAGTCATTGGAAAAAGTTTAGCAATGGTGGCTGATTGGCTTGTCTATTGCCGAAAAGACGTAGCCGGGCAAGGCTTGATGGTTTCTAGCTTGGCTAACGTAAGCGAGGTCAGTCGATCGGAGCGTCTTCACGTGACTTGATTATTCAGCTTCCGACCCTTGTAGCAGGCTGCCGAGAAACTGCGTCAACGGTCATTGATCGATACCAGCAGCTAGCTACTAGAGGGGCCCAAACGCCAAGTTAAGCAACACGCAAACACACACATACGCCTCTCGCTGCCGCTTCTACAGCTCTTCAATTACGATTTCCCACTCAGTTTTCTTCACGCATATCATCTACGCCAATAGCCACAAGCACATATCACGGCCTTGAACATGGAGCGATTCAGGAACTTGTTGGGCGGCGGTGGCATGGGTTTGGGAGGAGTTACTCCAGGCACGGTAAGCTTTGGATCAGCTGGAATTGCATTGCTTGGACGCAGCTATATCCCCTCCAGCTGGAGCAAGCTGCATGACCGAAATCAACTGCGTGATTTGTGGCTAATGGGTGTCGTCATTACAGGACAACATTAGCTTGATCGATAACTCAGAGACAGTCTACATCTCATCCTTAGCCCTGCTGAAGATGCTCCGACACGGCCGAGCAGGTGTGCCGATGGAAGTCATGGGTCTCATGCTGGGCGAGTTCGTCGATGATTTCACAGTCAAGGTCATGGACGTGTTTGCCATGCCCCAGAGTGGAACAGGTGTCAGTGTTGAAGCCGTCGATCCCGTATTTCAGACCAAGATGATGGATATGCTGCGGCAAACTGGAAGGTAAGCTGCTTAGAACCGTATATGGCTGGCCTGGAAGATCTCGGAAGGAGAAGGTCAAATCATGTCATGACTGTAGCTAACGGAGGCGTATAGACCAGAGGCTGTCGTCGGATGGTACCACTCGCATCCTGGATTTGGCTGCTGGCTCTCTTCTGTTGATATCAATACTCAGCAGTCGTTTGAGCAACTGAATCCCCGTGCAGTGGCTGTCGTTGTCGATCCTATACAGTCTGTAAAAGGCAAGGTCGTCATTGATGCTTTCCGACTCATCAACCCACAACTACTCATGATGGGTCAGGAGCCCAGACAGAGCACAAGTAACCTGGGCCACTTGAACAAGCCGTCCATCCAGGCTTTGATCCACGGACTCAACCGGCACTACTACTCGATTGGCATCAACTACCGCAAGACAGCACTAGAAGAGAATATGCTCATGAACCTCCACAAGCACGTATGGACGGAAGCTCTAGAAATGGATGATTTCCGGACAGAGGGACAGAAGAACAAGGAGCGTCTGGAAAGACTAGTCAGCCTGGCAGATGGCTATGAGAAGAGAGTCAAGGAGGAGACTGAGCTGACCAAGGAGCAGCTCAAGACCCGCTACGTTGGCAAGCTGGATCCCAAGAAGCACTTGGAGGATGTGGGCCAGGAGCTGATTGAGGACAACATTGTGTCGGTGTCGAGGCAGATGATTGACAAGGAGGCGACGATGCCAAAGAAGAACGGGGCTCTGGGAGCGGCAGCCCAATCAAGTGAGGATCAGATGGAGACGGAGGAGGAGTTATAAGGGAGGATCAAACTAGGGAGAGCAACCATTACCGCGGCTCTTTTCGCACTACTTGAAGCTACTGCTACTGCATATAACAAAGGTGGTGGTAGTTGGGCAGCACTTGGGAAATACTTAGGAACAGGACCGTAATTTTTGCGTTTAACAAATAAAAATAAAACTTAAGCTGCTGCTAAAATGAAGCTTGGAATGACACGACGGGTCCTAAGGGCGGTGACGGTGTATCAGACAACATGCTGATATATGTTGGGGCGGTGGCTGGTCATATGGGGGTTGTTGCGTGACCATGAGCGAATAGTAGTAGTGTCCGCGTGCGTATGGTGTTACTCGCTTTCGTAAGAGAGGGAACAGCAAAGCGTCACAGGAGACAAAGTAGACCGCAGAAATTTAATTGTAGGAATATTTCTAGCAAGAAGAAAAAATTCTGAGCATTGACTTACTGTTTCGGGAGCGGGAAGAGGTCCGTTACGTGCTGGTGCCTCCACGTCGTTACGTGCTTGGGCGGTGGCATCTGTTTCGTTACATTGGGATTTCGACCTTGGACCCCTGCACCTGAGGGCTTGAAGCCGTACTCGGGCAGCACGATCCACGGGCATGTCACTACCTTTTTTTGATGAAAAATTTACTGCTGACGATGTCGCCTCTCTTTGTCTCTTGGTACAGGTATAAATCGTTATATGCATTTTAAAGTAGCAGCATTAACAATAGCAATAGCCCTGGCTACTTATATCTGGGATGCTTGATAGCTTTCTCCACCTTATATCAATATGCTGCGAGGACAGAAAACTATCGTAGCTGTAGACACGAAGAGAGCGTAACTGCTCGGCGGCGGAAGCATCTACTTACTGAGGGAACGCATATGAAAAATCAAATGACAAGGATGGAACAATACCCTGCAAGTTTTACTCACGCAAAAGCAGCTGCTTCCAAAGGCAGCATGAAGCTGTTGATCCATTCCGTATAAGTCGGTGTATCCCGCGTGTGAGTGCTTTGCGCAACGCCATTCCATAAGGTACAAGTCGGTATGCCTACGCACCTACATGTACACACCCTCACACTCGCACATGTTGAATGCCCAACGAAAGCCGTACCAACAACTCAAAGGAAGAAGTGATCACATATTACTTAGTACTACAAAGAAAAAATAAGACACATTACGTTTCTTTCGTTTGCCACTTGCTCAAGACAGGGCAGCACAAATCCCACGCCATCTACGGTCTCGCTTGGGGACTGTGATGCAGCTTGGCATCAGTCACACGGGCAAATTTTGGCATCAGCCGGTGCTTGGTTCGATTGGGCTCAAACAAGAATAAGCGGTCTCAGCCCTCACAAGTACAAGTCGACCCCTCGGGCTCGACCCCTCCTTCATGTCATGTTGTCTTGATTTGTCCCCTGAAGAAGAGGCGCGCATGAGCCCTGGCAAACACGCTGCGGCCGGGGTCCCCAATCAGTGGACAGACGTGCGGTGTGTCTCGCAGGCCCGTGGAGGCGCCACAGGGATTGAAGCCTGGCGGACAGCGGATAGGATAGAGGCGAGGAGGCCCCACGGCGGCGCCCCAGCAGCGACAGGCCACAGTCTCAGATGACGGGCTCGTTGGACGCTGATTCATCCCGGCCTTTTTTGGTGGATGCGGCGGTGGATATGCAGTGCAGACGGTGCTGAGGAGCCCCAGCTTGCTACAGAGGAGTTACTGAGCTGGCTGCAGCCACTAACTGCGCACCGCAGCTAGTACTGGACTAGCAGCGCTGAGTGCGACAGACGCGGATGCAAAATGCAAATGCAAATGCAAATGCAAATGCAGATGCAGATGCAGATGCAGCCCGAAGAAGAAGAGGAAGAAGACAAGAAGAAGACGCGGCAAAGCAGGGAAATCAAAGAAAAAGAGAGACATTTGAGAAATTAGTTAGGCAGTTGGACGGTTACGGCACTTATGTATAAAGATGGAACTGCATGCGAGTGCTAATGCCGGGCAGCAATTCCCGTCTCCATCTGCTAGCACTCTTTAGCGGTTGCAGCAGCAGGCATTTCAGCGGAGCCCTCCCCCAGCAGGTGCATGAGCGGCGGCGCACCAACAGCAATCAGAAATTGGAAGAATGTCGAATTAATATCATCAGCTGTGGCTGGCAACGCCAAACGCCATAATCGTAAACGCGGTCGTGGCACTGTGATGCGTATGCGCTGCGCGGATTGGACGCGTTGACCAGTGGCAGCACTAGAGGCTGGCGACGAGGACCTATTCGCGCTGCTTCGTGTTTGTAAGCGTGCACTTTTCAAACGACGGCGAGCGAATCGCAAGTCTGGGTCCGGCAGCAGGCTTGTGGATTGGGCCTGATGCTTGTAAGTTCTCAGTGCTATGTATACAGTGTGTCAGTGGCTGCAGCTGCAGGGGTCGCGGCGCAGCATTCACGCTTCCATTTTCTTCAACTTCGACGTCCGCTTCAATTCTCTGTCTCGTCGCCCATGAATTGCGCTGCTGGCGATTCCTGCGCGAGTGTCCCATTGCCGTCCGCTGCGCCCTCTATGGGCGACGGCCTCTTCCATGCGCGTACCACGCACTCACCCATCCTCGTACTTCTACCCTCGAGGCCCTCGACGGCATTTACACGATAGCGCTGTGGCCGCGGCATCGGTTAACGCAGGAGATCCGCCACGAGCCCCTGTTTGCCGCCGCTGCTGTCATCGTCGCTGCCATCACCTGCACCTGCAGGAGCCACCACAACAAAGGACAAAAAAAATAGCATCGCATCATCGCCCATCCTCCCCTGCTCCGCAGTCTGGGGCGCCGGCATCTCGTGCGTCGGCTGATGCGAATTCCTCGAATACCACCGTTACTACCTTAATCCTCCATACACCAGTAATCGGCAGTCAACAGAAGGAACTGTTGGCAGTCCCAACGGCTACTGGTTACGGCCACTATAACTCGTACGTACCGTAGTAGGCCTAGGACTCGACCTAAATCTGCGTGTGCGTCTTCGACTCCTTCGCTTCCACCACCATCACCACCGTTACCACCACAATTACCAACCGACGACGTGGTGGCCGCGGTGGTGCTGGCAGTGGACGGTGGCCAGAAGCTCTTACGCCAGCATTGTCCCCAGAACCAACCATCAGCATCCGCGTGAATTGATCGCAAACGCAAACGCAAACGCAGTCGCCATCGAACCCGAGTCCGGATCCGGATCCGAAATCAAACGAAACGCCGTCGCCATGATGGACGTCGACACCGTCAACGAGGTCATCGAGTGCGTCGGCCGCCTCTTTGACCACATTCCCTACGCCGTCTGCGGTACCGCCGCCCTCATCTACTACGGCTACCGCTCCTACTTTCCCGACCACATCAGCATCACCTGTCCCGAAGAGTCCAAGGAAGCCATTCGCTGCTGGGCGCTGGCCAAGGGCATGACACCATTGCCCGACAATCCCGATGGCTTCAGCGTGCGCGTCGCCAGCGGCCGCACATGCCCCGTGTGCATCAAGTTCATGAAGAACGGCTTCGAGGCGCTGGAGCGAGTGCGCGTTGGCCCTGGCCAGGCGAGCATGGTGACGCTGCCTAGTATCGCCAACACCATTGCTCGCAGCTATGTCTCTCGCCTACACAACTCGTCCACCGAGCGCCAGGCCATCTATGCACGATACTTGGTCTGGATCTTGAAGCGCATGGCCGAGGTCCCGCCAACGGATCCGATACAGCGCTTTACTCCGGAACGCGCCAAAGACATTATTAATCGATCCTTCTGGATCCCCTTTACTCTCTCGTATCCTGAGACTCTACCTCTATTTTCTGCTGCCGGCCTCGACGTCCCAAGTGATGGCGGGTTAATGGACGGATTAATGGACGGGTTAATGGACTGGCAGAATGATGTCCCAAGCGTGCCGGTTCAACGACCGAGGGCTAGGACGTCTACCAGCCGTTACAGCCTCAACAACTCCCATGGCCGCAGCCAAAGCCACAACTTTGCCAATAGCTACAACTACAACTACAGCCAGAGCCAGACCCGCCAGAGCCTTCACGACTCGGATTTTTCAGAATCTGAGAACAGCACCACGCCGCCATCTCTCCGTAGGGTCACCAAGCGGATATCGAGCTTCCGCCCACTAATGGTACCTTCATTCAACTCGCCGGCGACTTCCGATTCAGGATTTTCTGGTTCCACCGACGGCATGTCACCGCAATTCCTTCTTGCTTCTCCATTCATGTCGCCCACCACATTCATGTCGCCCACCACAGCCATGGCACCGCCGCCGTTTACGAATTATCATCAAAACTATCACCAGAACTATCATCAAAACTATCACCAGAACTATCACCAGAACTACCATCAGAACTACCATCAGAACTATCATCAGAACTATCATCAGAACTATCATCAGAACTATCATCAGAACTATCATCAGAATTTCCATCACTTTATGCCTCTCTCTCCCTCCGACTCGACGCCTTTTGTCCAACCGTTAGGTCCTCCGCCTACGCCAAGGAGAACGCTATCAACTCGTTCCCGCGACGTAAGACCGTGGATATGAATCAAATGAACACGAATTTCCTTTATTATGCGCTACCTGAGCGTTTGAGATACACACACTCGCACAAAGAGCGATTTTACAGCGTTTGGACTCACATTTATACCAACTTCACGTCTACTTTATTGGCCAGTACAAACACGAACCTTAGAGCCAGACTAACAAACGATCCAAATCCACGGATTCTGGCAATCTAATTCTGTTCTTTTTGTCGTTTTTATCTACTGGGGGCTACCATCTAAATTGACGAGATATCAACTTGACCAAACTTTTCTTTACTTTACTTTGTTTCTTTTCTCCAGGCCATACCAGATTTTACACCTTGTCTCGCTGTCTTTTACATTTCATCTCATTTTATTTCTTCTCTCTCTATTCTGAAACAACGGAGTTTTCATTTTTGTCTTGTTTTTTCTGTGCCAAGATTGGACACGATTTGATGGATACCGGATATGGCAGGCAAGGGGATTATGCACGACATGCATACATGACGCAAGGGGCCTCCTTTTTAATTCCCCTGCTTTGTTTTTCTGATTATTAAATGACATTGAATGGAGGAAAGGAAGAAGGACAGGAAGAGATATGATGTCATGGTAATTGAAGAGGAAGAGAAGCAAGCAAGTCAACAGAAGTCGACAAACAATGAAACTACAACAAACAGACACATCAGGATTTTCTTTTCCTACTTTTTTCTACTCTTTTATTTTCCTTTTCTCTCAAGGCCACTGGAATAAAACAGGCTCAACAATATCCATACCCCATAGATTGATAGTTTACTGTACTGTACAATAGAAACAGAAAAGGGGGTGGAGTGCATTGCTAGTCTCAATGCCCAACTACCCACCCACCTATTTGATGAAGCTTTGGTTTTTTGCCTCTCTCTCCTTTCTTCTCCTGAGCGGAGACTTGAGTGAATGAATAGATAGTATGGAGCACATGTGCAGCAATATGAATCTTATTGAAAGGAATAGCAAGATATGGTGTGACAGAACTAAACTTAGGGCAAAGTATTCCAACCTAATTCTTCTGTTGTGACTATGTTATAGCTATTACTACTCCTACTGCTGCTGCTGTTACCGCTGTTACCGCGGTTATTGCTAGTTTTAATTGTGTATAAAAATATTGTGCATGATAATTAAATTTTTTCACACGTGGATTAACTACGTACCGTTTCTCTGTACGAAAATTCAATTTTCACAGCAAATAGCCTAGCAAAGAATTATAAATCATGCTCTCAACATACCAAAAACTCCCTTACCCATGTATCAGCCATGATTCCTCCTTATACTGTCCCGACAATAGTATTGCTCTTTAGGCCTCTTATTTCTTTGATCTACAAGATACAAGAAGCTGGGTACAAAATTAAAGATTTTAAAAACACGCTCAAAACATTTCCCTCCTATTTCCCTCGTTACTCCAATACGCCTCCCATAATGGCATCAAGCCCGCATGCGTCTTTGTCTGAGCCGACGGGCATATTTTCCTTGTCATAAAATGCGCTCGTCATGCTTGGTCGCATAATGTCGCTTATAAAGGCCTCATCCACGCGAGGCGGCGACGTCCCCCGCCTGAGGGACTCGCTTGAGATGGGTGACAAGTCGGCGGCAAAGATCCCATCGACAGCAGCTCTATCTTCTGGTGTTGCGGGCTTCGATCTCTCAGCCACATTGAGCTTCTACGCTCCCATGACGGGAATCTTCTTGCCTCGCTTGCCCAGCAGCGTTGCGTTGTCCAAATTGAGCTCAAATGCGCCCTTTTGTCGCTGTCGCTCACGCACTTGCTGTCGTGCAGCAGCGGTCACGGCCGCCGAATGCTGCCCGTAGCCCTTCTCATTAGTGGCTCGCTCTCGCTCACGGCCACGAGTATGAGTATTATCGTGGTCTTGGATATTGGCCCTTTGCATCCTCTGCTCTAGAGCCTGAGTTTTGCTGTTGGTATCCTTATCGATGTCCATGCTATCGGCATCATCTTCCTCTTCCTCCTCCTCTTCGTCTTCTTCGTTGAGACCGCCCAGAGGTCGACCAGCACCTCCGGCTCGTGCTCCGATCTGGGCCCGTCTCATTTCTTCCTCTCCTTGACGATGAACAGCGTAACTAACATCGAAAACTTCACGGAGGTTGACGGCTGCAGGCGATCGGAAATCGTACTTCTTTCCAACTTCCTCGAATTGGGCGGTTGCAAATGGCTTGAGCGGCATATCGGGTCTCTTTTCTGTTTTAGGGGTTGGTCCTACTTCTTGGATCCATGGGTGAGCGAGGAACTCTCTGATGGTGTAACGCTTCTCGGGGTCCACTGTCAATAGGTGGCTGATCAAATCCTTGGCAGATTCGGAAATGTCGTCCCACCAAGGCGACAGGAAGGTGTATTGGCCCTTGGCAACCTTTTCGGTCAGGACTTCGATACTTTCGTCGTAGAAAGGCGGGAAGCCACATAGTAACGTGTAGAGAACACAGCCAAGTGCCCACATATCAACCGACTTGGAATATCTCTCATCCTTGACGATCTCGGGTGCAGTGTAGCCAACGGTACCGCAGGGTGTCATGGTTTGTGTTTCCCACACAATCTTGGAGAGGCCAAAGTCGGCAATCTTGATTTCGCCAATGCCGCCACCTCCATATCCAGGGATGAACTCCCCCTCATCGACCTTGTCCTCATCTCCTGGCTGCTTAGGTTTTGGGTGCTTGGAGGGAATGACGGGTATCGGGTTGAATAGGATGTTCTCAGGCTTGATGTCGCTGCAATGCATGTGTCAGCAAAAGCCTGTTTGGGCAAGGGCGAGTATGACGTCAAGGTGGGACTACCCCTGTCCCACCCATCACCATAGCTTGCTTAGAAATGGGAATGGGGGACTGCTGAAAGAGAACTTACCGATGGACAACGCCCTTCTCCTCGTGCAGGTACTCCAGCGCTCTGGCCACTCGGACGATGACATGGCGAGACAGCTCTTCGCTGAAGTAGGTCAGTCGTACGATCTGGTGGAACAGCTCGCCACCGGGGGCCAGCTCCAGCACAATGTAGTAGTACTGCTTGGATTCGGAAAATTCAATGAGCTTGACGATGTTGGGGTGGTCAAGCTGACGCATGATCTGAACCTCTTTCAAAATATTCGAGCGCTAGCTAGATGTTAGCATCAGTGACTTCTCAAAAATTCTCTCCTTGTATCCGATGCCACAACTACTGGCAGCGTTTCTGTGCACCCTAGATTAAAGGGGCCAAAAGTGTGACTATAGGAAATAAGATTTCGCACCTCTGCAGCTTTTGGAATCTTTTGAAAGTCTGGATGTAAATGTTTATTTCCCTATTTTAGGGGAAACCCCTCTCCGTGGTTGGTAAGAGCGGGATGAGACGCAAGAAACGACATTGACGGAACGAGAGTTAAAGAAAATGGGATGTCACGGTGACAAAAGAAAAGCAACAACAAGGATAAAAATGAAGAATTGCCTCAACTTACTTGCATACGATTCATCTCATACTTGCGAACGACTTTGATGGCAACCTCGCCATGCTCTCCGGTCAGATCGCGCGCACGATAAACATTGCTGAAGGCACCATCGCCCATTTTCTCCAGGAGCTCCCATCGATCTAGGTCAGGGTATTTCGGGAACTTTCCCTTGCTGGCATTTTCTTCAGCGACAATTTGAGCCAGGTTCGCCTCGTCTACCCTCCTGCCCTTGGTACCATTAGCCTGCTGAGCCGGCTCGACATGGTGGGCTGCGGCATTGCCTGCCTGTGCGGCTCGGTTCTGCTGATCGTTGGGAGCTTCCGAGTAGGCTGACAGGGGCTCCTGGTGTCCGGCGGGTTTGCCATATACGGGACCTGTTGCTACAGTTTTCTCCGGGGGCGGGTGTGGTATCGACTGAGGGGTGTCATTCTTTTGCGGCTCTTCGTTAAAATTGCCGACACGAGCTTGTTTGCCTAGAGTTCAACTTTGTCAGCCAAAACAGCCTGCCACTTTCTGAACATTTGAGCGATCGTTGTCCCATTATGACTATGATGCTGGAATATGGTCATACCGTGGCGGATGAAATTCTTGATCTGTTGAATAGTAGACATGGCTGCCAAGAGACGCCGCTATCGAGCGACGGCGTGGTGAAAGACGCGGGTTGGAATATGCTGATTAATTCTTTGCTGCCGGATTCAAAAGTCTTGTTCCTCTATGTGCTTTTTTTATAGCCAGCGGTTTTTTCTTTTTTTTTTAAAAAAAAAAGGGGGGGGGAAAGAATACAATCTCAGATTGTATCGTGAAAGCAGTACAAGTTTGAGAGAATTTTAACAGGTAGCGCAGCGTCTGATTCCGGCTCGCTGTCGTGAAATGACGAGCGTGTTTGGCGCGAAGGTGCGGGGTTTTGAAATAAGTTTGCCAGCAGCAGTAGTGGGTTTTCTCTTTTTTTTCTCTTTGTCTTTGCTGGGTGGACAAGGTATCTACGTCAGAAGGTGACGCTGGGCTGAAGCAGACAAATCTGCTTGGATCGAGAAACGGAAATGTATTCGCTGGCGATGGTTCAAGTAAACGGAAATGGAAGGGGGGAAAGAAGAGAAGAGAGTAGCTGGGGCAGACTAATGGGAAGAAGGTCAGGTAGGCGTGTAGCGACTTATTAGTGATGGCCTTGGGAGGACAAAGGCGGCCGGGACGGTAATTTCAAGTGGATGGAAGTGACGTACGGGCCTGGAATAGGCTAGAAGGGCCAGTGGTGGAGAATTTCTTAGTGCTTGTCCCTGTATTTTTGTCGGCAGCTGATTTTGTTGAATCGAGGGGGAAAATCAAGTTGAGGAGGAGAAGGGAAAAGAAGGAAGAGAGGAACGAGGAAAAGAACGGAGGGAATAAGAATAAAAGATAAGTTAACAAAGCTACGCAGACGCATGTTGTGATTTTCTTTTTGTCTCCATGTCCGTGCCATTCTTACTTTTGACTTCAACTTCGCCTTGCTGCCTGCACTGATGACGATATTCCCTGCTACGTGCTGAAATGATACCATACATGTAGCTTTACTCTGCACTACGAAAAACCTTGGCCGTGCCTACACGTACAGCCAGGCCCTACCTGCACAGGTAGTAAAGAAGCCAGAAGGAGTGAGCTGGGGGTTACATTCAATTTCCCATCTGCATGCAGACAATGAGAGCAAAAAACAAGATAGATGCGACACTGACGCGGAGTTGACAGGACCGCCTATGCATGTGCCTAAGCATGCATGCCGTATTCCTGCTGCGGCATTGGCGCGCGCAGCGGCTCCAAGGAGCTGGCTGGCAGTGGCTGGCAGGCCTAGTGGCTGCTGGTGCTGCAGCAAGATCCGCCGCATTGCCTGTTAGGCAGTGCCAGGCATTGAAGTCATGACAGGCATTCGGGTCGAGACCCGGGCGGATCGCGCAGAGGCTTGCCGATTCAAACACCGGCTTACAGCTAAACCGCCAGCCACCGGAGTACTCCGTGCTTAACTGAGATCAATTACCTGGCATTTGCGATGCTGTTACCGCTACTGCGGGCCTGCTTGGAGCTTAGCAGCCGCCCTGCTGAGGAACGCGCGGGACAAAATAAATTGGACGCGGTGGCAAGAGGAGAGCACGAGATGGGAAGAAAAAGGTCGCCTGTTACCGTCCCCAGGTACCTGAATTACTTCATGACAGTACATGGTGTCATGCACAGGCAGTCGATCATCTACTTCGCACAGTATCCAAGATAATCTCTTTATGATAACTACCTTATCCATCAAAACAGGTATCGATACCTGGGCACTCACCCCGCAGAGAGGGAGCTTGAGGTACCCCAAACCTTTTGTTTGGATGGACGAGGATGAGGCGACTCCGAGGCCAGGAAACAGACGCAAAAAGCAAGGAACCCGCTTTTCCCGGTGCCTCCAACTCCAGCTGCCAGGGACTCTCGCTCAGCCTGGGATTGGACCTGGGCCTCTCTATCATGCGCCCAAAGCCCAGCCGCGTGCGTGTTGCTGGTGGCTCGAGCGCTTGGCAACTTGATTCGATGACCTGGGGGCTTGGCGCTGCGCTTTTTCCCGATCCGCATTTTGATACTTGGCTCGACGCCACGAGACCGGTGAGCTGGGCGATCCAGATCGCTGCTCAGGTGCTGCCTGGTATGTACGAGGCAATGATGCTGCTGGTAACTGGTGCTACGCGAAAGACTATATCGCATACTGCATGGCTACAATCTGAAGATGAGGACAAAGAGGCCATATGCCACACGCACTCGTGTGCGTGCGAAAAGCATCCTTCGAAATTGCTCGAACATCCACCTGAACAAGCTTCCTTGGCTTGGCTATGCGCGCCTGTCGATCCTCTCACCAGCGCGGCTCGCTTACGTTGCATCTACGTAGGTATGCATCAACCGCAGAGCTTATCCATGCCAATGCACGCTGCCATTAAGCAAGCAAAGCGATAAAGCAGGTGAAGGGCATTAAGAAAATATTTTCTCCCAGCTGCTTCTATTTGGTCCGCTAAACTCGGCCAAGCATTTTAGCTACACTACTAGCAGCATCTATATATGTGTGCTAAAGCAAGTCGCCGCGCGTCGACGTCACAGCGGGCCTCTGAGTCTAGGCCGTCATCTACACCTAATGCATTCAACGTCTGTTATTACACGTACTCCATACACGCAGACGCTATTGATGGTCCTGCAGCAGCGCGATAAATCGAGACGTTGACTTACAAATCCCTGGACTAAGCTACTGGCTGCTATTACTGTATCGATGGAAATCTGATCAATTGTTTCCAGTCGTCCAGCTCAGCATTGGTGTTACACGCAATTAGCGATGACAACACAGGTGAAATAGTGACTCGTACCAGACACCGGCCATGTCCTACATGATCTGTCGGATCGGCGACAGCCAACAGAGCTCTGAATCGACCGAGCTGAGGCGTAGCAACTCCTATCTATGACCATGGCTTGGACCAAGCTGCAGCCGTTGAGATGTCAGACACAAAGTGGTAGGTAGCCCGCCGGACCAAGTTACATCGTGACGTCACATGCCATTGCAGCATTTGTTGCCCTTCAAGAAGCTACCTTATACGTCATTGCCTCTAGATAGACAGGAAGACTGCCATCTTCAGTAATCTGAGGCTTAGAAAAGGACTTTGTGATACACAAACCGTCCCATTCATGGACGGTATACTACAGTTACATCCATACAATGAGGGAGAGTGAAACAGATCACCATCGCCGGCTCACGCAGAAGGAAATGAGAATGTTGTTTACGTCCATATAAGCAACTCGGATATAGCTGAAAGGTACGCGCGAGACCTGATGAGAGGCAATGCCATCATTTGCCACTTGCGATCTACATTGTGCATTTGTCAGAGATCGAGAGGCCAGACGGGACCTGTCTTCCGTGAAACCAATAACTTAGCTTGTAACGGAGTGGTGTGCTGTGAGATCCCCATCTCTCCCGGAGCTTCTGTGCCGGTGGTAGTCTGTTTTGGGAACTTCTAATGCTGAGATTCATGTATCCAGCGGCTGGGTGCATCTCCAAGTGGCATCCATGCAGTAGCTGGCTGCCTTTTTCGTTCTAGGTACATTAAAGGTACATTAAAGCAGATGCTTTCATCCAGTTCTGCTTGATACTTGCAGATGGGTGAAGAAGAATGCTCACTTTGACTAAACTGTAAAAGCATGAAGAGGGGGGGTGATATCGTACATATAGGCTATTGCGTGGAATGCTTTGGTGGTGTTATGCATACAACCGTTACCACATCTCAAAATAATACACAATGAGATTGACAATAATTATCCATCAATCTCAATAAATGATGAGTATCCAGCAAATTATGGTGAACATTCGGATACAGCAATCTCGTTGATCGCTCATGTTGGAAAACATCAAGTTGAATATAGAAGATGCTCCTCTTGCATGTATATCATGGCATTTCTTCTCAATAACGGACGTATTCCCTCTAGAAAAATGGACCGGTGGTATATTTACAGAGAGAATTTCTCAGCAATTGTAGCCCCTCGCAAGACCTTGATAAGGGTATTAATAACAACCAGGCGTGCCGCAGTGTGCCACACAGCCGTGTCGAAGTCCCCAGTTCACAGCATTTTTAACCCTCCCCGAGCCCTTGATAACTACGCTGCAATGAACGCTCCTCTGTGATCGAGAAACTTGACAGCAGTTTTCAACCTTATGCGAAGCCCCAATTCCTGCAGAGACATAGACGATTGAGTGACCAACCGGTGTTCCCGTAAAGCTTCCTAGCCATTTTCATCCTGCGCGAGGCCTTGATACCTGAAGTTCTCAGCAAGGGAGCATTATGCGTCGTGGGAATGAGGTGGGGAGATAGCTGTTGCTGTCTTGTATAGCAGCTAGAACAGGCAAACATACAGCGCATAGATAGAACATGTGTCCTTGCATTGTGTAAAAGAGCCATCGAGTGTCCCCTATACTACTTATATTCTCCTTTAATAGGATGGCCTAAAATCGAAGCCTTACTTGTTTAGATGCCAGGCAGTGAGCAAGTCAAGTCAAAGACGTTGAGAGGCACAGAATTCTTAATAGCCCTTTGATATAGCGCACTTAATCAAATGAACACTTTGCAGCATTTTCTAAACTTACGTGAGACCTTGATATGCCTTTCTAAATTGAGCACTTTCGTAAATTGAGCACTGTTGTAAATTGAGCACTGTTGTAGATTCTATTCATAGTCGTTGTCTTTAGGATCAGGGCCCTTGTTTCACAGCATTTTCAACTCTTTGTCTTGATACCTCTAGAGGTATAGTATTTATAGTTGAACACTTCACAGCATGTTTAACTCTGCATTAGGCATTGGGCATCCTAGAGTGCGCCCATGAGCAAGAGTCGAGACGTAATCGGATTTGACAGCAACTTTAACCCTGCATGAGTCCCTGATATACCTAATGAATATAAGCAAGCGGATGTCAGAAAAACATGGAATCTAGAAATTTTTCACACGCAAGAAAGTAAAAGTGTGCATACAAACACTGCAGATGACCCATATTAATAGCGCTCTTGCTAATGTTCTGTGTGTGAATATTCATTTCGCAGTCCCTTTATATATACTTATATATATCTGCTTGATAGTTGGGCAGCAAAGCCGGCATTCGAGGTGCCAGATATGGTTGGCATTTCACAACATTTTTAATCCTGCCTAAGGCCTTGACACGCGTAAAGAGGCGAGACGCCCTAGAAATGCCGTGCCATGACTTTTGCGTTTAAGGAGGCTGGATTGGTCAATATTATAAGTGTTAAGTTGAGCCCGAAATATAAAAGCACCCTTCATAAGGCTTCGCTCGCTCACAATTCAAACCATCATCTTGTCTTAGATGACTCTTATAGTCCAAATACCGCAACATATTCTCAAGATTCTGGTATAAATCCATAGGCCAATAACTACTACCATGAGATTCTAGCCCATTTCAAAGCTTGTAGAGCCTAACGGACACACCCTCTCGCTCCCCATGAGCGACCAAGGCCTTGTTCTTACGCCCGTAAAACACCCTTAATCCAAGGCACACAAACACGAGGAAAAGTAAGAAGCCCGCATTCGTCCAATGCCCCGTGGGGTAGCCCTTCTTCGCCTCGTCTGCTTTGTAAATCCATACACCCGGAATCTGTCCAAAACCTCCACCGATACTGACGTTGATGGCAATTGCCAGGCCTACAGATGCGGTGCTGACAACATTCGAGGTGAGCCAGCCCAGCATTGGGGGAATAGATGAGAATGAGCCTGCCGTGGCAAGGATGAGGCCTCCATAACGAGCTTTGTAGGAATCTGCCGGAAGGGCGGCAGAAACAATGAAGCCAATAGCGCCCACCAAGGCACAACCGGCGGCGTGCAATCCACGGGCGTTGAATCGGTCAGCTGATATTGCGACGAGGATTTGGCAGACTGTTGAACAAATTACCATCAGCATTCCATATTCTCTGTTGCTATCACAATTGAATAATATAAGACAATAGATTCAGGGGGATTACCGTAGGCAACGACCCAAGGAGGTACAGTCATGAGCTGCGCCTTCAGATCAACATATCCGAGGCCGCTGGTAATAGATGGCGCAAAGAGACTGAGACTCGCAAACGGCGGGCTGACGGCAAAGTACATGGCATAGTGGGCATACAGGCGCCAATCGGTGAGCGTAGATTTGGCGTCTTGCCAGGTCATGCTGGGATGGTCGCCTTTGCTGCCCTCGTGATAGAGACGTTGGACTGCGATGTCCTTCTCCGCTTCGGTGAGCCAGCCGGCGCTCTCAGGGTAATCTGGTAGGAAGAAGAAGACGAGAAGCGCAGATAGGCAGGATGGAATGCCTTCGAGGATGAAAAGCCAACGCCAGCCGGCCAAGCCTGCTGTTTGGTTCATATGGCCAATGCCGTAGGCAATAGCACCACCAAACTAAATATGTTTTAGTATATGGTCAAGACTGTGGTATAAGACTAAGCAGTAGATCTGACTTACCGCTCCTGCCAATGTCGAAGAGGCGAGAATAAATGCAACTCTGATGATGGTCATGATCAGTACAAATCTCAAGAGCGCAAAGATATTGGAACAGAGAGAGGGTATTTTCTGCTTACCGTACACTGCGCTCATCATGTCTGTACCAAAATGTCAAATAATAGACCAGTCCCGGGAACAAGCCCGCCTCAAACACTCCAAGCAAGAATCGCACACCCGTCACAGTAGCAAAGCTATGCGTGGCGCCCATGCACATGGTGGTGACGCCCCAGCAAAACATCAAAAAGGCAAGCCACCTGCTCGGCCGCAGCTTTTTAAGAAGGATGTTGCTGGGGACCTCGAATAGGGCATACGCGACAAGGAACACCATGAGCGCGACGTTGAACTGCTTGTTGCTCATGTCGGCCGTCTGCTGCAGGTCGTCGTTGGTCGAGACGTTGAGGATCTTGGCGTTGCCAATGTTGGAGCGGTCGAGGAAGCAGAGGAAGTAGATGCCTGCTGAGATTGGGATGATGCGGAGGTCTTGTTTCCGGAGAAGCTTCTTCTCTGCTTCGCTCATGGGCCCTGCCTGGGACGGTGGGATGTCCTAGAGCCGAAGTTAGCCTTTGATGATTTATACGATATGAAGGTTGACATACATCTTTGAGGATGCCGACATCAATGTCTATTTGCTGGGCAGTCGCCCCTTCTTCAAGCTTGGAATCCATGTTGAGAGGCGCCGACAAATCACACCAATATCATCAACAGATATAGACTACAAAAGCCAAAATGGGAAGAAAAAAAAAAAAAAAAAAAAAAAGATGCCAGGTCTGAGGCTAGCGATGTTCCTGTTAGAAGCAAGTGGCACCAAGAAGATCGCGCTGCGCTCAGTCTCACAACACAGGCCACCGCGAATTTAATAGAAAAAATAGACAGGTCTCAAGTCCGAAAATCTCGGAGCCGGTGAGAGGATTATCAATGTCTCGGCATATTTCACTTTATATGTATACAGGCTCATTATCAGGAGAAATGCGGGGGAGCATTGGACAGCTCACTGCTGTCTACTAGGTGAGGATTTCCTTCCTTGCGCAAAAACGCAGGGTTCAACTGCCGAACCGGCAAATTTGGGATAGCCGAGCGAATGAAGTCGGTTTCTTGACAAGAGTCGCGGGTGGAGATATGGGGGGTTCGGGTGATTTTCGACGGGGAGCGAACAGCTCTTAGCTCTTGCAAGTCCCTGCTCGGCCGTCTCGTGGACGCGTTTGCAGGGTCACATCGCGTCTTTTTTCTGGGGTAAACAGATGGGATGCTTGGAGGAGCTTGACTAGCAAACGTGACAGATGAGCAAATGGAGGCCCTTTAAGGGGAGCGTAAAAGAGAGAAAGAGTTGACGAAGTCGTGAGTGAATTCAGCGCTGCGTATAACATTCTGCTGTACTTGGAGCAAGCAAAGGGATCAGGCGGTGTCGATAATCGGCGTGCGGAGAAGCCACAGATTAGCTCTCGAATACGACTCTTTACCCCGGATTCTTTAGTCTCAGTGGGTTACATGATGAGGAGCAATGCGCTTCGTCCAAGCGTCTTACCTTGCAAGGCACGCCGTCTTATCGCACGCTTTGCTGGGGAAAAGAGGGGATATGATCTGGGCCAATCTTGGGGAAAATTAGCCGGTTCGGCACGACGGCCACCGAAAGCTGGGCGTTGACATTTGCATTCGTGTAATCACATTGATTTCTTGGCATAGGGGTGCTGAATATTGTGGTACTGGTGAGTAGGTAAGTGATTTGAAAGCCAGCTAAATCGACAATCTGATGGAGAAGGCACTGGAATAAGTGACTCGGCGATATCATCTCTACGAGTCCCTTTGATCAGATACAACTCGGCTATTTACTGGTAATTCCATCCCTGTACTTAACATGAGTCTTTATATCGACTCTTAGTATGAATATGATGGCTTGTCATCTCCCTCTGCAGATTTAGGGTAAGCGGCTTGGCAGTGTGAATCCATCCATCTTGCAGCCATCTTGACATGTGTGGGCTCCATCGAAGACTGAAATTGGTAATACTGGTAGTGGAATAGCTTGAATTTGGCATTCCGGTATTACGGAGCGGAGGCAGGTGAGCCTGTCGATTGCGTTTAGGTTTGCCAAATCGGGTCTTCACAGCATCTTCACAGCATCTTCACAGCATAGCTGTTGTGGTCCGTGCAACCAATTCTCATAACTACGCTTGGTAGTTGAGACCTAAACGATCCATTCAGCGTTTAGTATTAGCTATTGCCTTTATCCTACTGTCTATTATAGCATGAAGCTCCAGAAATGAAAGCCGGCTATTCATTGGATGAGTAAACTACCAAAATGCCACAGCCATCCCCGAGAACCGCCCGCAGACCGTTTGCAGCTCTGTAAATCCCATTTTGGCGGCATCTCAGGGCGGCGCCTGTTGGCGGCGCAACATTTTGTGGGCCATTTGGGGTAGTGCGGTCGGCGTCTTGAAATACAAGCCGAGTGGATGAAGCTGTAGCTTTTTAAATTGAACGAAAAAAAAGAAAACACCACTAGCAGAGCAATGAGCGGCATTTCCGATACTTTGCGGAGAGTCGAAGGCGGTTATCGCGGGTTGCATGCTTGTTCTTCGCCCCCCAAGAGATAATTGGACATATTCGGCATTTTGACAATGCTCTCAGAAATGGCAATTGTCGTGATGCTAGACTTCATGAGACGACAGAATCTCTCAAGGCTACTGCTCTGATGATAAAAGGTATAATATTCCTGATGACATAAACATGTACCTGTATACACGCGCCTTTTATGCCTCCCGCCCATGCAATGCTCCACCCAATCATACCGCAAATGAAATCAAACAAAACACAATTACTTTTGCCCAGCTATAGGCACCATTAGCAGCCGCCACTGCCTATTCCTCGTCGTCTGAAGGCTCAGCAGGCCAGAAAAACCAGGTGATGACCATGATGGCCTTGAGAATGGCAGCAGTCCACAGCGCGCCTGCAATACCCAGAGAGCTGTGAGAGAAGATGCCGCCCAAGACAGCACCAATCAGTAGCAGCGTGGGCGCAGCGGCGCGACGGTTCCTTTCGACGTTCTGGAAGGCAAAGAGGTCCTGGTCGGAGAAAAGGTCGCAGTAGATGCTGGTCAGGACAACGCTGGTGAGGGCGTTATACTTGAGCGCGCGACTCGTCACGGCCTGGCCGCAGCTCTGGAAGGCAACGAGCGCAAGGGGCGCAAGAACGGTCCAGCCGACATGGTCCTTGTCTTCAGATGGAGTTGTGAGGGTTACGATGAGCGCGGCCGCAACGATGAACAGTGTCTGAGCGGCAAAAGACACGCAGAGCACCCATCTCCGCTTGGGCGAAAAGTAACGGTGGAAGCGGGCGAAGAGGAGCGAGCCAATGCAGAAACAGGCCAGCGAGATTCCAGATTTGTAGAGACGCGCATTGGTAGGAGGGTAGATGAGAGATGCGATGCCCAATCCAACGTAGACAGTGTTTCCTGTTGAGTATCGAGGTCAGCTATCAAATTCTGGACTCATGATATATTCATCGTGTTATGTGACCATGAGATGAGGCACGCGACGAGATTGCCCGTTTTATGCTTTTGGCGCGACCAACCTGTTTGCATGGAAACGAATGCGCCCCAGACCTGAGTGGAAGCGCTGTCCAGCAGCCCCGTCACTACGTAGCACAGCAGCAGCACGATGTCAGCCCAGGATCGCGACACCTCGGCCGTCATCTGCTTTCGAAGCCTGGAGACGACGGATCGGGGAGCGGGCTTGCTGCGCAGTAGAGGCTGCTCTTCATCGCCGGTGGCACCGTTTGCACCGTTTGCACCGTTGGCTACGGACGAGCCGTTGGTGGTTGTGCCGTACGTTGTCATTGTCGCGGCTCACGATGGTATAATTTACGGGTGTTTGGGAGAAGGTCAAGAGAGAGGGAATCTCTGCTCCCCGTTGACGGGAGAGCCGCGGCTTGATATTGTGCGAGCAGGGATGGCGATAATATCTGAAGCGCTGCACGTTTGGCGCCGAGAACCGGCTATTGCGCAATGAGCTAAAAAGCTAAAGAGTTAAACGGAGCTTGGCTTTCTGCAACGCAACGACGCTTAATTGCTTCAGACGCACCCTTTCGGTCTCAGCCAAGCGAAGATTGGTCTCAGCTATTCTCCTAATCCAGAGTCGGAGCCTATTTCTGTGCGGCCCGTCGTGCAGCTTCGCTCAGGCACCGCCATGAGACCCGGCCGGTACGGAGCGCTGCGTCAGCAATTGCGAGCTCGCCGTTGGTGGGATCCAGATCTGCGCCCGAATCTCGCCTCACTCCAAGCGTTGCGCCGGCAGCCAGAGCGGACTTGATTCGGAATCGGCCAGGGCCTCGAGATCCTGGGCGGTATCGCGCGGCGGCTGAGATACCGCAGGCTGTAGCGGTCGCTGGCTGTAGGTCGAGGTATTTTGCAGCGTGAGAGTACCTGCAATGGGTCCCGCTGGCGCATCACCAGTGGATTTTGTCGCAAAGGCGTCGCGACTCGGTGAATACAAGCATGTGACGCAAGAATAGGGGGAGATGGGAGAGCAGAGCGTGTACTCTTGAGGTACCGCCTGCGATTGGCAACGGAGGCACAATTGTCATACGAGATAGTCGGCGCACTGCTTTATAAAGCTCCCGGTCCTCCCAGCAGCCTGTCGAGCTTCATTTGACCTTTTCCAACCCAAGCCCGCGTTGACTGAGCCTCTCCAGCGCATACCCAAGACCCGTACAGCATCCCAGTCGCCCAAACAGTGAAAAATGAAGCTCTCAGCAGCTCAATTGCTCCTTGCCGGAGCTGGTCTGACGTCGGCGCTGCCTCATCTCGACAGCCCGCAGCAGCGACTTCTCAATGGCATGAAGCTGCCCTCCTCAGTGACCGAGAAGACACTGAGCGAGAAGAGCGGCCCCTACACGCCCGGCCACCGCGACGAGAACGACAACTACGTCGATGCCATTGGCAAGAAGCTCGACCCCAAGCCCTGGCGCAATGGCCTGGGAGCCTCAGTGCTCGGCCCGTACAACCGCGACCGATCGCGCCAGAGCCCCGACATGATCCGCCCGCCCAGCACCGACCACGGCAACATTGCCAACATGCGATGGAGTTTCACCGACTCGCACGTGCGAATTGAGGTGAGAGAGAGACGCGCCCTTGCATATGTGCAACAATTAGTGAGAGTTTCTCTACTGACATGGCAATTGAACTGTAGGAGGGAGGATGGACCCGACAGACCACCGTCCGTGAGCTTCCCACCAGCGTTGAACTCGCCGGTGTCAACATGAGACTCGACAAGGGCGTCATTCGCGAGCTTCACTGGCACAAGGAGGCCGAGTGGGCCTACGTTCTTGACGGCGAGGTCCGCGTCACTGCTCTCGACTACGAGGGCGGCAACTTCATCGACGACCTGAAGAAGGGCGACCTGTGGTACTTCCCCAGCGGTGTCCCTCACTCTCTGCAGGGTCTCGGTGACAACGGAACCGAGTTCCTCCTCATCTTTGATGACGGCAACTTTTCTGAGGAGTCGACCTTTATCCTGTCTGACTGGCTGGGTATGTATACGCAACGATTTACTATGGGATGAGACACGTACAATAGCATGAAGAGTAAGAAAATGCTAACAAACAAACTTTATAGCACACACTCCCAAGTCCGTCATTGCCGAAAACTTCCACCTCGCCCCCGAGCTGTTTGACCACCTCCCCGCCGGCGAAAAGTACATTTTCCAGGGCTCCGTGCCCGGCTCCATCGAGGACGAGGCCCCCAAGGGCAAGCACGTCAAGCAGTCCAAGTACCAGTTCACCCACAAGATGCTCGACCAGGAGCCCAAGAAGACTACCGGAGGCCACGTCCGCATCACCGACTCCAAGAACTTCCCCATCTCCAAGACCGTGGCCGCCGCCCACGCCGTCATCGAGCCCGGTGCGATCCGCGAGATGCACTGGCACCCCAACGCCGACGAGTGGTCCTTCTTCATCGGCGGCCGCGCCCGTGTCACCATCTTCGCCGCCGAGGGTACCGCCCGCACTTTCGACTACGTTGCTGGCGATGTTGGCATCGTGCCCCGTAACATGGGCCACTTTGTCCAGAACATTGGCGACGAGCCCGTCGAGATGCTTGAGATTTTCCGCGCCGACGAGTTCAGAGACTTTTCTCTCTTCCAGTGGATGGGCGAGACTCCCCAGCGATTGGTCTTGGACCACTTGTTCGCTGATGATAAGGAGGCTGGTGAGAAGTTCTGGGAGCAGGTCAAGGATGCCAAGAAAGATGAGATTACGAAGTAAAGGCGACTGAAGAGTGTCAAAGGTTGTAAAAAAGTAATGAGGGGGCAAATTTGTGTTATTATACGTGTATCAATCGTGGGACGACATGTTAAGGGTCATGTCGTATATGGCGTTTCTTAATTACCAAATTAATTGGCTTTTTCATCTTACTATTTACGTTGCACTTAAAGGCTGCTGTATCTTGATGTCTGTCGATATGTAAAATGCAGGGAGTTTCTCCCTTTTGTCATGCTGGTAATCTCCTATATGAAGATGCTTTAACGCGGTTTCTTCCAGATTTCTGTTGTTCGCTAGGATTTACGGCTGGATTTGTTTTCATTTGGATTTCGTTGGCATCTTTAAGTGAGAATCCTTCTTTTTGAACAGTTCCCTAGGCCCCATCACCATATATTATGGGATGCAATATTCGAAAAGGATAGTTTTTAACTTTCAAATAGTCATTCCTGATGGATCGTAAAATGACGGGATGTAAAGCTCCAGCTACAGCGAATGAAGTTCGCCATATTACGTAGCTACCAGTAGACTTTTGAAACAAAGCTAAATGTATTTCGCGGACAGGAGCTGATATGGTTGGCTGCGGGGAGAGGGGAAAGAGCGCTATGCCAGGAATCTTGGCGCATATAGGAGGTATTTTTAAGCCAAGGTATTTTTATCTAAAATAGTAATCGGCTTATACTGCGACTGGTTAAAATAGAATATGAACTCTTACCAAGGTAACTAGCTATAATTCCCCCTCCGTTTTGACAATCCAGAGGATCTTTTGTAAAACAACTCCCTCTGATGCCCCAAAGTACCTATTCTTAATTTTGGGGTAAGCCTTAATAGCCTCAAGTGACCGGAAGCAAAGGGGGTGGGGGAAGGGGGAGCTGTTAACAGTATCACCGCGCTGGAGCTACTCCATGGTGTAAACAGCAATGAATAATTTGCGGTCTGGTGGCGTTGGACTTGCAGATAAGCCTGCTCTTTGTTTTCTCGTCATCTTATTCCGGCCTCCTAGGATGTTGCAGCAGCGTTGAGAAACGGGGCCCTGCATTTGGGCCAACTTCGTGCAATTCGGCTGCTGTAATACGTTCCGCGTCCATATTGGAAGAATCAAAAGAACCTTTTCACGGAGGGAGTGGCTCCTTCAGATTAAGAAATCATGCTTGATGGATAGAGTTATGCATTGCCAATGATATTCGTGAACCTAACACCACCACATCTTCTCTCGAGATAAGGCACGTTGGACGAACGGAGGTTGGCCCGTTTGGGCAGCTGGTAAATCACTGAGGAATATCAGATGCGATTACGTATGTCATCTGCACGCCACCCACCTGCTGCGAGTCTTTTTCGTTTCTCAGTAATAAGTCAAGCTCCACATAGTGGCTCGTACTTGTGGTGGCGAGTTTATTACTGGTCTTGATATCGGAGTGTTGGCCGAGTAGCGGAGACTGATACGGCGCAAATGAATATCAAAGCTGCGTGTGGGTAAGGACTTTACAATGATGGGCTATTCGTTTAACTGCTGACGGCTAAACACATACTGCTCCATAGTCCCGAAATACTTTACAACAAGACAGGTCGAGTCAGGCACTCAGATGTGATCTCAAGAAAAAAAGCTACAACAAGGATGAAGGAAGTAAGGTAGAGAATACGAGTTTGAATATTGCGACCTAAAGATACCTACGGCTCTGAATGTCAACATCTGAATGAAAATCGAATAGAACACCATATTGTAAATAGGCTAAATTATTCGAGATTTACGAGACATATCGAGTAAGCCCGCGAAGAAGTGTAAGCTCGAGGCACTTTTGGAACTGCCGTTCGCTCGGGATAAAGATTTACGTGCCGAGCAACCTCTGCATTGTCTCGGATCTTCGTTTGTATTAGGAAATTGAAGTGTTCGAAATGCTGCTGAACTTTTGCAAAAGGGGGGATCAGATAGTAGGAGGGTGGAGGGTAGGAAGGGGCAAATTTGAGATGAGGATGTCTTAAGATGTTGAAGGGATCAAGTGAAGCCTGAGTACGTGGATTCTGGACATCAAAGCAAGGTACCAAAAGATATCCATGGTGGTCACGGCCGGACAAAAATCGGCTTCGAGCAGTTACCGACATGACCGAGGCATCAAATCTTTCAACGTCGCGCAGACGGCGAGGACCTTCAAAAGCTGCAGACTATGTCGGCGAACTTCGTAATCCTACCTATACGAGATGACTGGCATAGGAAGGCTCTAGGGATACATGTAAGAGAGCAAATACGGAGCAAGGATAAGTTGTACCATCATTCTTCTTGCTTCGATGAGACATACCGTAGTGAAACATGGTGTTTTTGACTATAGTTTCCTGCCTGTACTCTTGTTATCGCCGCGGATATGAGAAGCCGAAGGCGGCTTTGCCGGCCAGACGTCAAACGATGTCGCAGAGCCTGATGGGCGGCGATCATTGCTGATTGAAGATGAACAAATTAAAACCGCCATGTACTAGGTATGTTGTATATGATGCTCCGTATCCCATGCTACGGTACCTCAAAACCTGTTCCATTGCGCCCTGTCAGTGCCATCGGTGGAATACTTGGCGTTTTCTGTGCGACGTGACACG